AGTATGTCCATGAATTGATATATTCAATAAATGAAATTATAAATACAAAGGAAAGAAATCAAATATTGAAATTACTTATGTTCTCATAATTTCTAATTAAAAGCAGAATCTTTATCGCTTTGAATGCATAAAATGTATATATATCATCATTGCGGGTTTAGTTGATGTCATTTTAGCTCGTTTTATTTTCGCAGGAAATGCCGATCTTTCATGATCCATGTGCCATAGTTATCGTCGTCCTCGTGTAACCACTTTATTGGGACGACCATTTTTCAAAAACTTTTTCAAAAAAAGGTATCAACACGGGAATTATTTAATATACTTGCCGATGAATGACACGATTCAAATTGTTTTCACAAGGGGGCATAATTTTTGAAAGTTGTGCCCAATTTTTTGCTATGAAATCTTTGTAGAAACTGGCCTATAAAGAAGAATTTGATTTTGAACTATGAAAACGTGAACATAAAACTGAAAGAATACTTGATTATCATTTGACAAGGCAAATTTTTGTAAGACAAAGGGGGCAAAAACAATACAAATGTATCTGAAAGCTATGTTTCCGAAGTTCCCCCCTTTAATATAAGAAATTTTGTCAAATAAGTTGATTCAGTAGAATGGTTTCGAAACTATGAAAGATATCAACATGAAACTTGGAATACTTGATTATCACGACAATGAAAGTTATTTTCAGATAAGGGCATTATCCTATTAACAAATATTTTGGGAGTTATGTTCCTTTTTTACTAAGAATATTTATAGTAAAAAAAAATGTTATTGAAAGATGTTGTCCTAAGAGCGATAAAAATACGCATGCGGTGCTCTTGTTTCGTTTTAATATGAGAAAAAGTATTTGTTTCAATTGGAAGTAAATAGAATGATTAATAAAATGGATGTCATTGTACCTTGGAGTCTTGTTATGAATTTTGAAAAAAGATCATTTTCATGTAAGTTACATTATGCCTATCTAAGAGTATATTGTGCGTGAACAGATAAAAGTCAAAATATGTTTTACGTCTGGCCATAAACTCCTTTTTAATTTAAACAATTTAGTTCGCAAAAAACGATAAATTACTCATGAAGGCCAAATGCAATTTATGTAAATACCAATCGGACTTTACAAGTAACGTCCCATTTATGAAAAATAGTCAGACACTATTTTCATTTTTCTGGCAAATTTATCCTAAAACATTTTCCAGTATCATCTGTTGGTCAATTACTATTATTACAGTCTATATTTCGAAATATATAGTTTTAGAGAAACAGAACATTTATTTTTTTTTTTAAACGTGTCTTGATAAAGAAAGCACTTGTATTTGAATCGAGTAGTTTTTGTTACCAGGTTAGGATGTCACAAGCCAGGTAACGCCGAGTTTAAAAAAAAAATCCATAAGAGGCAAAAATAAGATAAGTAATAGATCAAAGACCCTTTTTATTATAAACCTTTTTCAAATGTAAACTATGTTTTTCAAATCATAATATAAAATGTATCTGGAAAATAGCCATAAACGTCATTCCGCCATTCAGGTTTTATATTCTATTGCATGCATGTGATACATAGAAAACATGTTAATGTTTATCATTTAGTAATTCGGATTTTGACAGAAATCTATGAAAGCTTCTAAATTCCCTTTTTGCTATACTTGGTTAATATAACTTATCAGTAACCCAACCCTCTGTGTATATATATACAATGAGCTTTTATAATTTATGGTAATATGTTTATAAAAGTTTATATCAATATGACAAATCATTTTATAGATTTACAGATCGGAAATGGAAATGATATTGAAACAAGTCATTGATTATTACAATCGGAACATCTCGGATATTTCTTTATTGAATATTTGGAACGTCTTTGGACTTTATGTTGATTGTTTTTATTACCTCTTCTACTTATCTTAGTTCTTAATGCTTTACCAAGTCAGGCATGTGAGTTTTATCCTGTGAAAAAACCCTCAAAACCCCGGAAAGCCTGAAAGAAGTGTAGGACAGTAAATGATTATCTAGATTAAAAAAAACATATCAGGGTTTTACCATTTGAATAATACAAAATATAATGTGCGTATTTCCTTAACAACTATCTAGTGCTAACTTTATTTGTCATCCAATGAAAATGCTGTATTTATTAACAAATTATGTACGTTTATTTTTTTCATAGAAGAACAAAAGTCATTTCTTTTAAACGTAAACGAATTTTCCCTTTCCCTAGTTTGACTTTTATTTTTCCAGAGTAAATTCATAAAAACCCTTTTATAAAGGGCCTTAATAAAAGGTGATAAGAAAGGGCCAAAAAAAAAAGCTTGACACTAAAAATTTTTTAGTATTCAAACCGAAAACTTTTTTCTACAGAAAATTAAAAAAAAAAATTTTCCCCGTCGCTATCCCCCTTCCCGTTTGAAATTTTTAAATTTTTGAACACCCCGGGTGAAAAACTAACCCATTAACCTAGTGTTCATCCCAAAAAGAGAATTGGATTTTTAACGGGTTTTGGTTTAAACCAGAAAATTTTTTTTTGTTTTTGATTGTGTAAAGGAAAGGGGGCTTAAAATTCTTATAAAAACCCCAAATTTTCGAACCAAAAAAGAACTGAGTTTTAAAGGGTGTAGTTTCTGTTAAAGAAAAAACAACGGCTCGCCCCCTGATGAGGTTTTACCCCACGCGAGCAGCGATCCTTTGGGTTACTATCCAACTCGGGGCCATGGGCAGGGGTTTATAAAAAACAGAGAAATTATAAAAGAATAGTTGGAAAAACAGGAACCATCTCTTAAATGTTCTGTTAAAAAATGGAGAAAATTAAAAATTAAAGGGAAAATATGGTTTAGGTAGAAACAGATTTTTTTTCCAAAAAAAATCCTTTAAATGAAAATTCAAATGAAAATCTGTTTGCCCTCTTTCCCACTAACAATACACACAAAAAGGGGACACTATGGAAACAAAATAACATTTGAAAAGACGCCACAAATTTATCTTAGATCAGTTATATTTTTTTTAAACGAAAAGATTATTGGAAACATAAAATAAGTTAAAATATGAGTCAAAAAAATTTTCGCAAAACAGGGGAAGTAAAAAGAGTATGTCTCAACTCACACGATGCTGATTTACTGCAGCATGTACAGTATAAGACTTAAAAATTTAGATCTCCGTTTATATTGTTGGTTATAAAGATTTTTGAGAGGTCATATGACCCTATATAAACGATTGTTTGGAAATATATAACCCGCAAAAAAGTTATATTTTCAAATAACCATTTATACTCGGCCATATGACCTGTCAGAAATATTTATAACGAATTTATAATGTGCAAGCATCCTTTTTAAGCGAACATGTGTGATTTCTGCACCAGTGTATATAAAAAACTATATAAAAGTCACGAACTAAGAACGATTATAGCGCATTGAAAAACTTTACTATCTAATTGTTTGTGTTATAAGATATATGCATACTACGCACTTATAATAATATTTGAGTATAGTACAGTGAATATTGACGGTTTTTTCGCGCGGGGAATTCCCTCTATTTTTTTCTCTCTTTAGTAGGCCATGTTGTATATAATTGAAATTATATTTGCCCATATGAATATCTTTCCATGCATTTAATTCAAATATATTCTTAAAACGTTATATAAAAAATCTATTATTTAGCTAAATTAAAATAATAATTATTTATGTCAATGTTAACAGTTATAAACAAATCTCAAATGTTGTTAAATAAAGTTACTTTCACTTTCTATTCCGTCTTAGTTACAATGTAATTAAGCGATCTGCGTCATCCATTCCAATCTACATTCTTTAATCACGGTGCGTAATCGTTTTCGGGCTGATTTGGAATATTTTATGGGTTGATTAAGATAAAAATGGACTTTTAGCTTGACACGAGGTAAGAAAACACATTTACATCTCTGTTAGTCTTTGAGTATTCTACTTGCACGGAACATTGCAATGTTTAAGGAATTCATATACAAACTTTATAAGGTTTGTTAACGGTCTTTTTATCAAATTGAAATCGAAAAACAATTTCCCACATGTCAGTGAAGTAGTAGTAAACACTAACATAAAATTGCCAAAAAAAGTCATTATTGTTTTTGATTTTTCAGGTATTTCATTGACGATTTTATAAAAATATAATTATCTATTAATTCTATATCTATGTCATGTTAAACAGTTAACAAAAATCTCAAAGGTTGTTAAATTAAAAATTCCGCCTTTAAGTTACTTTCAACTTTCTGGTCCGTCTTAAAGTTTACAACAATAACATCGAAAATGTAAAACAATTTGCGTCATACTAAAAAATAATACATTCAAACATATAGTGGGTAACAGGAAAGGAAACTGCAGAGTGAATATAATTAGACATAAAATTATTAAAACAGTTACTTTTATTTATTGCAAAGATTACTTTTCAAACGATTAGTAAAGTTAACTTTACAAAATTCGCTAGTCAACCTATGCATGAAGATTATATTTGTTTAAATTTTTTCGTCGTGTCGAAAATATTTTATCTCTCTTACCCCAATCTTATTGTACAGTTTTCATGTTTATCTCTATACCGCTTTTCATGTATCGGTAAAAATGAGTAGCGGAGTCCCTGTTTAATCAGCAAAAAAATTTTTTCGCGATGACAAAAAAAATCGCCAATAAATTACGCCAGCTTTACGCTGCTTTACGTAAAATTATAATGCAAACTCCTTACTTTGAATTAATGGGCTGTTTGAAAGACCTGTTGCAGAAAAGTGTAGTCTAGATCTATATTTGGATTTCAGATTCGTCTATTGTACGGCCATTGACATAATCATGAAGGTTATTATAAAGCATTTGTCAATAAGCAGTATCTAAAACCTGCATAACTTTATATCCATATCACTGTTAAAAGAAAAGAATAGATTTCTATATATAATGTACTTTTTTGAGCGGGAAAGATATAATTGTCATGACGTTATTTTTGATTGACGTCACATCTGGCGTCATATTGGTGTGAAATACATTCCTTTTTTTTTATTCAGCCTACAGTTAATTTAAATGCTGGCCTCTAAGTTAACATACAATGTTAAGATTAATGGGCGGAAGCATTTCCTCTTACTATATAAATATAAAAAAGAAAATGTGCAGATTTTACCATGCTTATCCAAAACATAGTTAGATAAAGCTTCTGTTATCTATAAATGTGTTTAGCTGCTAGACGATGCAGGCACGACGCCAAAATTCTGGCATCATATATTTATTGTGCAAGCGAAATAGGTAGTAAGGTATTATGAACATCATTTATTTGCTTGCCACATTTAGATCTATTTGTTTGCATGTTTCATTGTTGTTGTTGTTTTCTATGGGTTTTTTTTTGTTTGTTTGTTTTTGTTGTTGGTTTGTTTGTTTGTTGTTTTTGTGTTTTTGTGTTTTTTGTGTTTTGTGTTTTTGTTTTATTGTGTTTTTTTTAATTATTATTATTATTATTATTATTATTATTATTATTATTATTTATTTATTTATTTATTTATTTATTTATTTATTTATTGTTTCAGCTATACTGATTAAGAAAGGCCTTGTAACCCTCCGAGCACGAGAACCACATACTGTACAAAGTAAGGCGCTTTTATCTGTAAAAGTTTATTATAAAAATTTTGTTGTACTCAAAAAAGAGGGTACCAATATGTAAATATAAATACAATATTTTAAGGTTTAAAATACGAGGCTATGCAAATTATCGATAAAAAGCGTTCTGTAGCGTACCTTAGTTTTGATGAATCATTAAAATTTAAAAATAGAATACAAAAACAAATGTAAACGCGTAAACGTGAAATACTTAGGATTTTCCATATTCCCAATTTTTTTCCTAAATAAAATTTCTTTAAGTTTACCCGGGGGCGATCACCCCGCGGGAAAAATCTGGTTCACGAAGGGAAATTTTATTATTTTTATGTTTAAAAAATAAGGCTGTTTTCCCAATTTAAAGAATTTAAATGTGACGTTTTAAAAAAGAGTGCAAATTTGATTTTAATTTAAATTTTAAATATCAAAAAATTATTTAAATGCCCGGTTTTTTCCCTACCAATTTAAAAAATATTACATTTTTGGGCAAAATTTTTAAAATTTTCCGTAATGATCCAAAAATGTCGCCAAAAAAACCTTTGGTTTTAAATTTTTCAACCTTTTCAAGGAAAAATAATCATCGGGGGGGGAAATTTTTTAAAACGAGAGGGTGGGTTCTTATGTTGACTTGTAGGAGTTTTTTGTTTTATAAACTGTCACGGAGTTTTGCGGGAAAAAAAAATTTTTTATAACTTTCAAAAATACTCCTCAAAAATTGTAATTTTCATCTTTAAAAGGTGAGTTTTGGGTGCTGAATTAAACACAAAATACAAGATGTTATCAAAGTATCATAAGAACGAACTCCATCCTTCGTGTAACAGTTCCTTCCCCGTGATCATAAGCTATTCATAAACCTCGACTTGCTCGCCTGTTTTAGTTAGGTAAGGCATATAATATTCGTGGGTCAATATGGAATGCAATAATAAGTCTTCGCTCAACCTTTTTAAAGCCCTTAATAAATATTAATTCTTATAAACGAAATATTATTTCGTAACTACGAAATAATAATTCGTAAATACGAAATAATATTTCGTAAAAACGAATTAAAATTTTTATAGGGTTTCAAAGAGTTTGGTGATATTTTTAAAGAAAGGCCTTGAAACTAAGTTCCGGACTAAATATAAGGCATGTTAATGCAATATAAATAGTGATTTTTTTCTTTCCAAGTTTTATATATATAAATTAAAATAATCGCCTGTCAATAGCGTTGCAGCCACAGCCGTGATAGTACACGCGCTAGGAAAATGGGATCCTGTGTTTCAAATTCCAACACGGATAAAAAAAATTTCTGTTTTGTTTTGTCGATAGTATTGAGTTTTGAAATAAAATTTTGTTTTTATGATCGCATGGTACCCATACATAAATTGTAAGGAAATATACTTTTTTATGTGAAAATCTGGAGCCCTCGTGTGCACGACTAAGTATCTCGTGTGCATAACATAATAATATCTCGTGCGCACCACTTAAAAATTTCGTGGGCATGATTTATTAACTCGTGACCACGACTTAGTTACTCGTGCACACGACATAGTATATTGTGCGCACCACTTAATTATCTCGTGTGCACGACTTAGTAAGTCGTGCCCGCGATATAGTATCTCGTGCATCACCACTTCATTATCTCGTTTGCACGACTTAGTAACCCGTGGCTACGGCATAGTATATCAAGCTCACGAGTTAAATAAAAACGCACAAATGTCTCCTCTGTGCCACCGTTTAAACTGCTTGAATTATCAATAAACCATCATAAATAATGGTCACATTGGCAATGTGTCATTCCAATAACCCAATCTTGAAAAATCGTATATACGTAATTTTGACGATGTTAAGGTATTCACATCCCTGTAAGGAATTACGGATCGGGACCGTGTTAATTTAGATATCAACGCTTAAATACAAACATGTTAGAATATTGTATTTCATGATATAGTCATGCATAATAAATGTTTAATGTACGTCGTTTGTAAAATGATACTCTGTATTAAACGGATGATTTGCTTGCTTTGTTTGAAATAGCTTTATTGCAAAATCCAAAATAACTATGGTGGCTGTTTAATGCCATGTCATATTTTTGCTTCTCGGGGCGCCAGAGAAAAACACAAAAATACGATAAAGTGTTCACTTTATCGTACATTCGCTCCGCGGGGCACCTGACGAAAACACGAAAACGAAAACATACAACATAGTGACCCATATGTCGTAATTTTGTGTTTTCGCCTTTCGCTCCAAAAGGCACTAGGTGAAATCTCGAAAATACGACAAAGCAACCACTTTGTCGCATTGTTTCCCTGCTTGGCGTTATGTAAATCAAGAAAATACGACATACAGATTACTTTGTCGTATTTTAGTGTATTCGTTTGGCGACCAGCGTGGCGAAAATCAACAATGCACAAATCAGCCACCATACAAAACGAACTATCAGAGTGACATGTAACTTTAGTCAGATTATATTGAACAATAGATCTAAATTTAAGCTTAGTTAAAGCATACATTCTATTCGGTCTTAGAAATGTATTTTTAATGTGTTGTGATTTTTTTTCTATTTTCAGTCGGTGTTTAGACCTTGACGTATCCAGTACCTCGTAACAGAGTAATGGCGCAAAGTAAACAACTCTATAGTCGAGAGGAAGCGTGTAGATATCCTGAACAAGACAGTCAAAGTGCAGATACCTTTTCTGAAGTATTCGACGAAATCAGTTTATGTGTAAGACCGGAAGAAGATCGTGAGATTATTAGTTTTGACCCAAACGATGATACAGATGATTCATCGTCTGCTAAACCAACCGTTAGCTGTGCAAAATGTGTGGAGCATGTACGTGTGGAGGGAGTATCACAAATTCTCAGAGGCAATCATATAATTATGCCTGGTAAAATGGTTGGCAACCAGTATGATCCAGAACGCCGGGAGCAGAAGTGGATATACATGCACCATGCCATTGTAAAAGATATCATAGCTAAGGATGACCAGAAGTCAGTCGTAGAGCTGAAGTTGATCCACATGTGGGAAAACGAACGCGGTGAGCTTGGGCTTTGTGAGTCGAACACGCAATTCGCCCTTGTAAATGACGAGTTGTACATAGTGGAATATAAACATCCAAGATTTACGCGCGATCAGGTGGTAGAAAGAGCGGAGAAAGCACTGAATGACCGGGAAAATGCTCGTAGTGAAACGAGAGTGATACGGTTCAGTTGTTACAATGTGGTCACAACAAACTGTGAACATTTTGCCACTTGGTGCGTGGTAGGATTACAAAAGAGCCATAGAGATTTGTATTTCTGGCAACAGATAGGTCAGAAGGTTGTCGAGATAGGCGAGAGTGCACAAGTCATGGAAATGAAGGCGCGTCTTGTTGAAATATTTGGAAATGCAAGCAGAATAGTAAAAGGCTTCAAAATTCTGTTTGATTCTTCAGATGAAATAACGAAAATAGTCGGAGACAGTATTAGTGCAACAACAGTATTAAGCAGCACTGCCGCCATGTATGTATTATATTGCATTATTATGACTCTATACTTTAAGTATAAGTACACCAGGAGTGAAATATGTGCCTCGTGTTTTCGAAACAGTATAATGGATCTTTGGGCTAGATGTTATGTGTATGGAATCACATCTGTAGCCACGTTTTTCATAATGAATAGCGGCGTATCAATTCCTGCAGTGGTAGGTGCCTTCACGCTGATAGCTTTGTCGGTGGTTGGTCAACATTACATCCCAAATATAAGAAAGGCTCTGATGGCCCCATACGGGTGCACCAAGACCGCAATATATCGGCTTGATGACATAAATATCGGAGATATTGTCACTATACAGTATTGGGGTCTTCCCCATGACGTCATTGTGACGGAAGTTCACACAAATAGCAGTGATGAGAAAGGCAAGATTCGAGTTGTTCATTATGCTTTGGACTCGCTGTTTACGACCAGAGAAGTTAAGGAAGAATACTTTACATTAAGATCGGTTTCAAAACATGTTCCTATCTTGCACCGTCATGACTGTGATCATTTGAATTTGTTCTCTCCTGAAATTGCTGTCCTAAGGGCTAAGCAGAGAATAGGTGAAAGGAAATGGCATGGGACTAAAAACCGTTCCGATCACGTTTGCTACTGGGCGAAAGTCAAGAACTACTTTACTGCAGATGCCGCAGACGACACGTCACATGGATCGTCTGCTTCTCTAGAAGATCAAGGTCAATCGAAACTTCCGAGTACCTTATTTGTGGGCGAGATGGAGGCACATCTCAGTAGCGACATAGAAATTGGAGACGCTGTAAGAGTTAAAGGTGTTGAGGGAATACTTGTATACAAAGATTGTGGAGAACGGAAAATGAAATTGGAGATTATCACTGTTAAAGATTCCGTGAAAAAGCTGAAGCAGTTTGTAAATCTCAATACTGACAATGTTACAGTTTTGAGATACCATCCAGTGCATTGTCATCCGAAACCAGTACGAGCTGATCGGGCCAGATTGGTAATGGGTCAGAAAATTCCGTTGAAAAAATTTATGGATTTTTGTTTGTTGCTTAAAAGTTAACTTTGGGTGATCGATTACTAGAGTTAGTGTGTTCGACATTTATGTAGCGGAAGTTTAAACTGTGACAGTTTTGCGTTGCAATCTTAGTTTCTTAATCGATACGATAAATGCATTTTATTTTATGCAACGGTTGAACTATATGTATATACATAGATAATGTTTATGTATTTACTGTGCACAGTTACTCATAAAAAAATATATATCATTGGTTATATGACTTCATGTACATGGAGTGTGAATGAATAATGCTGGTGTACATGCAATATATCATACAACGTGGCTTGTACATAACTGAAGAGACTTTGAACCATTAGCTCATTGAATCAAGAAGCTTTGAATCTACGCAGGTAGCGATCCTTAGATTACTTATCCGACGAATTAGCCACACCAGTATACAGTGACCCAATGTTCTAAACTTGGCAATTATCACCTCTGGATTTTGATATAGTAAAAACCTAAGGTATCATTTGTCCGGTGAAGGCAATCATTTTGTTTTCAGATTTGAATGCCCATAGTGCAATTTAAAGGGACTCCACTGAGTGTTTTTGACATAATGGGTCTGGATTTTTTTCTGTAATCTTAAAAGTGCATTTTATGTAGGTTTTGGCTAATAACTTGTGATCATTCGCTCATACCGTTTTTCTGAAATAATTATTTTAAATGTTAAAAATGACCCTAAACTGAAAACCGTTGCAACGCTTTTCACTCAAATTGGGCTAAAATAGCACAAAAGTAGGATTTTTATTTTATTTCTGAGTATATTTCTAAATTATCTTTGTATATCTGTTTTAAGTGCCCTTGTTGATTTATAAAAGGAATTAAATTTTTATGTCTTTAGACTTCCGGATCTCAGTGGAGTTCCTTTAAGTACCAAATTTTCAGCACTACAGAGCAACTCATTTTATAAAACAAAGAGCGTGGCTATTGCTTAGAGATGTTGCTTCAGAAAGTTTAATTTCTTGTAAATTTAACTTACTTAAAGAAACGATGTTACTGTAAAATGAGTGTTGCTTAACAGGATGGCTCTCTGCAGATGCTGTATTGTATTATTGTACCATGTTTATGTCTGACCAGTAAAACAGGTCCGACTGTGTGTAGGATTAGAATGTTTCTTTATAACATACGTTTTCTTATGATTGTCTGTAAAACAGGATCGACTGTGTTAAGTATTGTAATGTTTCTTTATAATATACGTTTGTTACGATTGGCCTGTTAAACAGGTTCGACTGTGTTTAAAAACATTAAAAATGTTTTGGTTTTTTTTTTGTTGTTGTTTTTTTTTTTTTTTTTTTTTTTTTTTGTTTTGCTTTTTTAGTTATTGGTGCCCGTTATGTCTCAGAAATCCTTTTATTTTATTTCTCAAAATCTTTTTTATATTTGATGTCTTACGATAGGTGAAGTTTCCAAAAAGTTACGCATTGGTTATTTATCTGAACCATTTGTTTCTGTGTCCATATGGTAATAGTACAGATGTAGTGATTTAGTATTTGTATTGAGGTCAGAATACTACTTTGTTTAAATTTTGCTACTTTTATGACAAATTATTTAACATTCAGTACAATTTTCTCAACGTGGTAAGCATTTAACATGCTCTTAAACTATCATTTATCGTTATTATTACAGATACATCTCATGTTTTCCCTTTCTAAGAAGGACATATGAGCCGCGTCACGACAAAACCAACACAGTGCGTTTGCGACCAGCATGGATCCAGACCAGCCTGCGCATCCGCGCTGTCTGATCAGGATCCTTGCTGTTCGTTAACCATCCCTATTACAAGTAGAGAAACTGATAGCGAACAGCATGGATCCTGATCAGACTACGCGGATGCAAACCCTTTTGTCGTGACGCGGCTAATATATTCGTTTCTGAGGCATAATGTGCCTTTAAATAATCTTTATTCGCTTTCAGTAAAAAAATAATTTAATATTATGATGTGGAAGTTTAGAATCTCATCAAAAAATCATGAGGGTTTCATTGTTAAAATAGGTTAGATATTTCTTTATAATTGCCAAGTGTCATAATATCTTTCATAAAAGAAAATAGTTATTGATTTAGTTGTTATTTATTTTCATACCACTTGATGAATGTATAGATATCCCCTCTATGCATTCTTCTTTGCTGGCTAGTCATTTCAAAAGAATAGTGCCATTGAAACGTGCACCGGAATAAAACGTTGAATATGTAAGTGATTAAGATTACATTCTTGGAAGACCAAGTTAGATGGGTGTCTTCATTCTTGGAAGACCAAGTTAGATGGGTGTCTTCATTCTTGGAAAACCAAGTTAGATGGATGTCTTCATTCTTGGAAGACCAAGTTAGATGGGTGTCTTCATTCTTGGAAGACCAAGTTAGATGAGTGTCTTCCAAGAATGTAATCTTAATCACTTACATATTCAACGTTTTGATATTGAAGCCCAACAGTTAGGCTACACTTTTTGGATTTCTGGCGTATACTAAGAACAGGTTGGCATACGAATCATGGGAGAAACATTTCGTGAAAGAAAAAGGTTGCTTGCCTGTTTAATTTAAATATATATTTAGGGAAAATCATTATGTAGAGAATTAATCCCCTTCAAAAATAATTAACCTTCAAAGAAATTTAAGCGATGTGTAAAAAATAATCATAAGTTACTTTTATTTCGCATAGTACATGTAATACTGACTCAAACTGTAAAGATCTTTATTGTTTTTCTAGCATTACATTAAAAAATATCAGAAATATTTTTCTACAGGCATTCAAATGAAAAGAAAAATTAAAATATACGAGTGACATTAAAAAGGCCCACACGAAAGTACTTTTAAAACTGTTACGATGATTGTCTACTTCACTGCGCCGACTTTTGAAAACAGATTTACAAAGATAATAATGTTATCAATGATGAAGGAAATTTAAATATTCTATGAATATAACAATATTGAATTTATTATGTTACCATAATAATACATTTTTATATAAAAAAAAATGTAAATTTACAGAAATTTCGTCAAGTTAATTTTTTAATCGTTGTTGCGGATAGATAAACTTTACCTTTAAAAAATAAATTAGATATTTATATTAAACAAGTAATGTAAATCCGTGCAATAGCTAACTTTAAGTTTATCATGAATATACAACTTGCGACATTAAACAAGGGAAAAGCTTGCGACATTTAACGATACAAATGCGACATTTAACGGCATAAGATTTCGAGACACTTATTGGAGGTCAAGACATTTAATTCGCAATGATGTGACATTCAGCGGTAAGTGCGACATGTAACGACGTTACACTGTCCAATTTTAGTCACTGTTGTGCCCAATTGACCTTTTCGAAAACCTAGCTAAACACCGTTTTCCGGTACGTTGCGGATTTAGCTCTGGTGAAGTACATAACTCAGTTACATGATATTTCTATTTTTCTATCATTATTTTACCGTTTAAGGTGAAAAAAATTGATGTTTTTGAAAATTATCAATATTCCTTTAATATCTATTGCAAATTTTTGTTAAAAATAAATTGTTTTATGATGAAAATCAATAAAATTTAAACAGACATAGTGGAATCTTCCATAATAAATAAGGTTATTTTCTGCGTAAACTTATGTATTTACTTTATTTTTTTGTATGGAATTATTCATACAATGATATTCAATTATTTTCTTGTAAACAAATAACTGTTTTATTTCAATTTAATTTAAAAAAGGCCGAAAACATCGAGTTCGCTATTACACTCCATTAGGTGAATTCCCCAGAGCTATGTACAGAAAGACCGGAAAACGGCGTTTAGCTAGGTTTTCGAATTGCTGAATGACCGTCTATATTCTAATGTAAAGCGGTCATTAGCCACACTGAATGGCAGGCTTTATTCTAGTGCACAGGGATGATTTGTGCCTAATTAGATATCAGTTGGCTTGACCACTTTAATAAATTGATGATAATTCTAATCTTTAATAATTCAGCATATTTCCACAAGTACTATTATTGGACTGGGACAATTATTGTGAAATACACAAATAATAAACAATTTTATTATCATTTAATTCTTTTAATTACTCTATAACATTAAGTTTCAACTGTAAAATTTAACCCATAACAAGGTATATACATTGCTTAAACTAACTTCAAAGATTCACATTGCAATACATTCCTTCAAAAATATTCAAAATAAAAATTAATGCAATTAAAAATTCAATATACACTGTATAACGCTGTCTTTGCTGGTATTGGATAAACAAGAAAATCTACATTCAATAATTTACTTTTTCATAACAAAATGCTAATGAAGGTCGAAACAACTTTCCCATGGAAGCCCTACACTGTACATTCTTCACTTCCCCTCATCTTCTTTTTTCAGTATGTCAGAAATATAATTATTTCCCAAATGTGAATTTACTGACATTGCAAGCTGGAAGAACCAGTGTTCATTCAATAATCACACAGGATTCTAGCCTTCCAACTTGTTTTTTTTTTTAAGAAGCTAACCAAACAAATCCAAATAATCATAAATATATTAGCTCAGTATTTTAAAAAAAATATATATATATTTACACAATTTTACATCAATAAAACAATAATAAATAAACAATAGACTTGTTAAGCGAGTCTGTGTTGTTCAACTGAATAAATGAAAACAAAGATGAAAATTTTTATATGGAAGATCTTCTATACTTTACAAAACGCTTGGTGTTGATAACAATAACATTGTCCAAAATATTATGTAAATTACAAAAATCTTGACTGGATTTAGATGGTTTTTACATCTTTAATATAGTGTTTTTCATTTTATGAAATAACCGGTCATATGTGTTGGTTTTAAAAGACTGTACCTACTATGGTTTTGACAAAATTGAACTATCACCCAATATCATTTCCACTCTTAAAATAAATACTTGAAATCTGCTGAATTTAGTTTCATAATTAACCAGTAAAAAGTATATACATGTACATGTTGTTTTTTTTAAATTAATTGCAAAATAATGGCATTTACCCTTCCTCAATGCTTAAACATATGGTTCTTTATGTTCAAGAGAGAGAGAGGGGCGGGGGTATTTGTTTTGCATGTAAGATTGAAATATATTAAACTCATGAACACCAGCTATTATATTTTCCCTTGTGGCTAAGTCACTTGTGAAAATATTGCAGCTGGTGTCCACCCAGTGAAATAGATTTCATTCTTACATGCAGAACATACAAATTATTATTTCATGTTTTTTGTGATTTTAAGTCATTTGTTTTACTTGTTTTGCCGTGTAACGTCATATAATTTCTTAATGACGTCACCATACAAATGTTGAAATTTAGTTCTATAAAATTTCTTTTTTCAACACAATGTATGCAGTTATTTACTTTCATCTCTAAAGAAGCAAAATTTACATATGACTGAATTTATTCCTGTTGATAATTCTATTTAGTTATTTCAAATATTTCACTGTGAAAATTATCAAATATAATTTCACTGTGAAAATTATCAAATATAATTTCACTGAGAAAATTATTAATTTCATTTTCAACTCCAAAGCATGTAATAAATTGAATTGTTCCTTATACTATATGATAGTTTTGGTGCAAGATTTATTAATGAATGTCAAAAATCTAGACATAATTTATCTCTCTTTTCCAACTTGCCAATGGTCAGATCATAATCATTTACGGGTTTTTAATTCATATTATAAACCCATCTTTTAAGAGATGATCCTATTCTCTCAAAAATCAACAAAATTTTGCTGTTCAGCATATCTTTAAAAAAATACAAATTTCATTACAACTGGGAATTAGATACTTTTTTTTTTAGTTACAGGTGATATGTACATGTATTACATATTTTCATGCTTATGATTGCACATATTTATTTATTCACAATTATTATCTAACATTTATGAATTCCATTGGCAACAATTACTTGTAAATTAACATCAGGTTTTATACGGTTGATTGTTCATTCTTTTCTCATTTGGTTTAAACATATTTATTTATCTCGATTGTGAAACAAGTTCTTGCAACTTATATTAATCGCTTTCGAGTCCACTTCCTGGAACCAACCAGTACTGGTGTCATATGAAGAAACATGGTCGTGACCCGAGTAGGGCTCAAACCCATGATCCCTGTGTTGAGAGGATCGTCTTAACCACTAGGCCACTTCTCATTTAATTCTAACAAATCTTACAATAACAGTTCCTAAATCAGAGCGGGGAGCCATGCAACTCCTTAACATAAAATTCCACATGGTAAAGGTTAAGTCCCATGATTGCATTTGAGAAAAATCCTATGCCACCGCATGGTTCAAATTTCATAGCTGTACATCAAAGGACAAGAAAGTAGGTCACATCATCAAAATCTAGGTCACCTGATATCAAAGTTCAATTTTACAACTAAAACTGTGCACATGGTCAAAATGTCGTTGCTTTACATCAAAGGACAAGAAAGTAGGGCACTGTCCCATTTGGCAAGGCATAATTTTGACTCAAGGGTTTTATTCAAAACAATCTTGATACAGGTCCACCAAACAACATTTCAAGTCAAATATCTAAGCTATAGCTTTCTCCCATTCAGAAAACATTTGTTTTATTTTCTGTTTTTACTATGTGTACATAATAAGGGGCAGGGCCAATTTTGACACCAGGGGAAAATTTGAACAACTTTGATAGAGGACCGATAAATGATATTATATATATCAAACATCAAAGCTCTATGCCTTGTACCTTCAGACAAAAATATTTTTAATTTCTTCACTATATGTACATAATGAAAATCAATGACCCCCGGGGTGGAACCATTTTTGACCCCAGGGCTATAATTTGAACAATCTTGCAAGAGCTTCACTACACAATGTTTCGTGCAAAATATCTTAACTCTAGCCTTTGTAAATTTAGAGAAGATGATTTTTTAAGTTTTTACTATATACATATAAGGGAAAACCTATGGCCCCCGGGGGCGGGCCTAATTTTGACACAAGAGACAAACTTTGAATAACTTTTGTAGAGTACCTTTAGATGATATTATTTAACAAATATTAAAGGTCTAAGCCTTGCACCTTCAGACAATAAGATTTATTATTTTTTACTATATGTATATATTGAAATCAATGACCCCCAGGGCAGGGGCAATTTTGACCCCAGTGCTATAATTTGAACAATCTTGCTAGAGGCTTACTACACAATGTTTCATGCAAAATATCTAACCTACAGCATTTGTCAATTGCTAGAAGAATTTTTTTTGAAGTTTTTACTATAAGTTTTTACCTTATACATATAAGGACAATGACCCCCCCCCCCCCCCCCCCCCCGGGCGGGCCGATTTTGACCACAGGACTATAATTTGAACAATCTGGGTAGAGGTCTACCAGACAATGCCTTATGCAAATTATCTAAGCATTAGGCCTTTTGGGTCTTTACAAGAAGATTTTTTAAATTCATTCTTAGAATTCTTTTGGTTGCCATGGCAACCAGATTTCTGCATGGAATGAAATTCTTTGAATTCTTATAATCTATATAACACACACACACACAGGTGAAACGCTATATGCCACTGCATCGCTATATGCACTGATTTCATTAACACATCTGTAAAAACCTCCTATCAAACCTTTTATTTGAGAACTTTTGAACCTATACTTGCATACAATTGTTGACGACATATCCTGTCAACATGAGAGACCCACAATACAATGGTCTCCAAACTGAGAGAGACAGAGGTTGGATCTCTTGTTAAAATTTTTCCATTCGGTGGTTTATGTAATACCAGCATATAATACAAAAAGTCTTAAAAAAGTTCACACAGGAATCTTGTTAAGTCTTAATCATGTCTGTTTATTCATCTTTCAAGGCAATTCTTGTTTTACATCTCTGTTTATTCATCATTCAAGGCAATTCTTTTTTTACATCTCTGTTTATTCATCATTCAAGGCAAGCATCTCTGTTTATTCATCTTTCAAGGCAATTCTTTTTTTACATCTCTGTTTATTCATCATTCAAGGCAAGCTTTTTTTTACATGTCTGTTCATTTATCTTTCAATACATTAACATCTGTGTCATGCAGTCTTTTTACTTGTAGAGTTCACTGCATGTTGTAGAGCTAAATCATCAAATATGTCCCTGAAATAAGTCAAATATTGGTTCATAAACTAATGATCAAACAGCATCATACCATAATGTGTCTCAAACGTCTTGGGCATTTAAAAACACATAAATAAGCACCAAAACCCATATTTTAATGGAAAAAAAAATCAATAAAAAAATACTATTATCAATAAGAAATTTGCCCAAATTACATCCCCCACCCACAAATTGATTCTTTCAACTCAAGATTCATTGCTAGAAATGGTCATAATTCTTCAATGCAAAGTATTTAGGTTAAATTGAGGCATGCCATTCTTGACCTAATCAGAATGATTCATAATTTTTTTTTATACATATCGACAAGGACAAAAAGTGGAGAGAAAAAGCAGGATTTAAATAACTTTTGCTGCGGACCACTAGTTAATGCTGCATACCGAACATGTCAGCTCTAAGCATTGTAGTTGACATACAACTTGCATGAATTTCTCCGATGAACTAAAAACTTTCAATAAAGACCATCAGAAAACTATTGAATATTGTTTCCAATCATTTATAAATAACACTTAAATGAAATTCAAAGTTTTTTTTTTTTTCAATTTTCAAAACACTGAGGGAGAAATATAGAAAAAAAATCTGAAATCAATTTCTAAAAACTGAATAGAATTTTCCCAATTTTTTTTCATAATTTTTAATTTCAATTCAATATATCATGCATGGTACATAGCAGAGGCAATTGTAGATGAACAGCTGTCTGTCTGCTAGCTGATATAAGTCAGATGCTGTTGTGTCCTGGCTCTGGTGAAGAATGTTTAAACAACATTTATGTACAGGAAAATATACTTATTTTGGGCCAGGGGAAACAGTCTTTATACGGCTGTAAAATAAAGGTGAAAATTTCACTGAAATTATGAGTAAGTACTTACTTGCTCATATAGAAAAAGATGTATCCACTTCTTTCACGTTTTGTTTTCACCTCTTGTTCAGTGATCTTTGTAACATGAGAGTCATCAAAACTATACCACGATCTCTTCTTCATGTCATACACATCACTCAGGTAATGACCTATATGATAGACATATGAAAAGTCTTACTAGCTCAGGGGAAATCATTGATAACTTAAGAAAATAATGAGTAATTTTTTGTTCTTTGTTTTTACACCAATTTTAAAGGAACTTCATCGAGGTCAAAAGCTTAAAATAATAAAATTTGAATTTTTTACGTAGATCAACTGGCATGTTTCAAACAAAAAGGATATTTTAAGGATAATTTAAAAACATACTCAGAAATAAACTGAAATCAAATTTTATTTTGATTCTTAGTCTTATTTGAGCTTAAAGCGTTGAAATGTTTTTCAACTTTAGGTCATTTTTCATAATCAAAATAATTATTCTAGAAAAGCAGAGAGAATGGATGATCTGAAATTTTGCACATAATGTATTGGTGTAGATCTGCATCAAATAGAACTTTAATTGTGTAAAAAATAATTTCCTGTTCCATCATGTCAAAAAACCTCAGTGGAGTCCCTTTAAGACTAGTCATATACCGGAGGCCAGTCCACCTCACCAGCTTTCAAGGATAACTAACCAGAAATTTTGGCCGCATCAAGACAAAACCAACATAATGGGTTTGCGACCAGCATGGATCCAGACCAGCCTGTGCATCCTCGCAGTCTGATCTGGATCCATGTTGTTTGCTATCAGTTACTCTAATTGTTATAGAGTTGGTAAGCGAACAGCATGGATCCTGATCAGACTGCGCAGATAAGCAGGCTGGTCTGGATCCATGCTGGTCTCAAACCCATTATGTTGGTTTTGTCGTGACATGGCTCAATTTTCTGTTCAAGTGACAACTTCTTATTCCACATGATTTCTGAATCTGTGGCGAGAGACCAACGACCATTTTACACCCAATTTTTAAGATGGATTATCACATATAAAAGTCGCCTGGGCCCAGTTGTTAAAATTTCACAAATAAGACGTTTCTTTGTTTTCAGCTATGCAGGTGTAACTCCACAGAATGTTTATAAAGAAAGATAGCTTTGTTGCTTCTTATATACAAATGTTCAGTATGATACATATATCTGGTAAATAATTATGCACCAGTATAACTTTGACAATTTATTCTGTTATCTTTTTTATTAAGTAAAATTAATTTACAATACATTTTAATTTCTAAAGTAACTTATTTTCATAAAAAAAATATTTTTGACTAAAATTATTTCAATATTGTTTAGTGTTACATTTCAATACATGTTAAAATGAATTAGATGTATGTGTCTGGAAGAATGTTTACGTACCCGACTATATAATAAAGATATACAAGTCTGAGTGGCGGCATGGCCGCGTGATTAACACATCGGACTAGTTATCTAATGATTGCTAGCTGCTTAACTTCAAACCAAATCAAGGGAAAGTTGTTGTTTCCTTGAGCAAGAAACTTTTCATTGATTGCTCAGTATTGGCTGGTTCCACAAAGATTCGAAAGTGTCTCAATAAGCTTTATATACATTTATATACATTATGAATTCTTTATAAACCAAGATATATCTTACCTGTTGCAGAGGACAGGCCCATGTGGTTGACAATACTGACTAGTTTGTAGGAATAAGGCAAATCTCCTTTCTGGAATTACACAACAATTTACAACTACTAACAGAATCAATTATAATAAAAAAAATACCCTTTTAAAGTTTCTTTTCTGGTAAACAAATTTATTATCTAATCTTATTTAACTGGCGTGAACTAGATTGCATTTAATTCAGTCTGACGCAAGTGATTCGGTGAAATTTGGAAAACCTGTCAATACAGAACAGTATATTTTACTTTTATCAATGCTTATCAGTAGCACAAAAGCCTGTGTTATAATGCAGGAATGATTCACAAAGGACAAAATACATTTTGCATATGAAATTGTAAATCATTGCAGGCATATATAGCATTTCAAATACATCGAGACTTTTAACCTATACACATAACTATCCATATTATTATGCTTACCTCATTAACAATATCTGGTATTTCTATATTTTCCTCAATGTATGCGTCTACTTCGTCTGTAGATTTTTCTGTAACATCCATGGCAAATTCGGAAGGATCAGATAATTTGGGTTTCTCTGTTAAAGGCACTTTGTTTTCCTTGTCTTCAGCCATCAGCAACCAGGAATCTATGAAAAGCATAATGTATCACATATATACTTCTGACCCTACTGCACTTTTTGTACTGGTTTTATACTGCTTAGGATTTTTAATAATCAGTTGTAAATTTTGCATATTTTAATGTAAAAAAAATTAGTAAAATTTGTTTGATTAACTAGGGGACACAACTAAAGCTGGACTATAAATAACACTGTAATTTACAGTCCACTCCAGCTTTAATTGTGTCCCCTAGTAAATCAAACGCCAATTACTTCCTGTCATGGCCGCTCTATTTACAGTGCAGGATTTTAAATTGATTTTGGGCTTGTGGGTTATTTAATTCAGCGAGGTTTACATGTCAAAGATATGTGTGTGAATTTTAGTTTATTTATACTCATCACCAGTTGCCAATGTCACAGTTATGATATGAATTTGAGATTTTGCAAACAATTTGAAGACAGATAAAACAACAAAAGAGCGGATAAACGCTTACCTGGGCATTTTTTTTACATCTTTGGCGCTCATAAATGTCCTAATAACAATTGTTTATTGTACTTGACTATCAAATTGAGCAAGCGTTATAGCATGCTATAAATCTAGGTCTACTTAAAAAAATTTGGGAGCCAAGGTCTTTGAGCGCTATACTGAGATTAGCGTTATAATGGAAGGCAAGTTATCGAGGCTACAGTGTACTTATTTTACTGCACTCGGCTACAGAATCAGTCTTATGCTTAAGTATAAAACTTTGCCAAACACATATGTATAAAACATAAAATGCTGCTGTAATTGCCATATCACTCACATTAGGTAAAGTTTTATGCTTGGCCATGACGTCGATTCCAGGATAAAAGGCATCTGCAGTCTGATTGTGTACTGAATAACTTCATTTATTATGTTTAGAGAAACATTTGGATTAAAAGAATCTTGCTCCCCTGGCCGGGCAAGTTTAATCACCATTTTACTTGTCCAACCCAAACTTTCACTCGCAAATTTATCTGAGCAGGCCAGTGGATATATTAAAGCCTGGAGCCTACTTAAAACTTTAACACAACAAAGATTGTTAACTATAACAGAGACTCACCATCTTCCTCCTCAGCCTCAAACACAAATTCATCAACATCAACATTTGCAGGCAACTCTTTCTGCTCATTATCTCCCTTGCTTGTTAACTGACAGTCCCTATGTAAATCATAGCCCTGCTCTCCAACTTTTCTATCCTCATTACAATCATCATTAGCACCAATAACAATTATGTCATTTTTGTCGTCAAACTTTTCCGATATAGTCCGATTTAATCCATCATCGGCATGGACACCATTTGATCTCATGTATTTGTTGCATTCGTCCTCGGCTAAAGCCTCAATGTCATGGAGTTCATACACTTTACCTGGGAACTTCACTTTTACCTTGCATTTGTCACTTTCAAACTCCAGGTCATCGGGAATTTCTTCCGTACACAAAAGGTCATTACTATTAACTGACTCATCGTCACTGAGCTGATGGGACAGATTATTGAGCCTATTTCCCCAGTTACTAGCACGCCTCTGTGCCGAATTTCCTTGGTTATTTTCACTACCGATATTCGAACAATGTTGATTACAATCATTATTATTATCACTATCATCAGCGTCACACTTATTATTATCATTCTCAACCTCATCACCACTTACACTTGAATTTATTTCAATATAATCATGTTCAAACATGGACTTAGACAATTTTTCTTTATTTCTGGTACTTTCTGTCAAGGGTTTCTTCGATTTTGATTCACATTTTGTATCAAAGTCACTTTCTGATTTGTGTCTGCGTCTTTCGTAAGTTTTGTGAGTTTTGACAGACAATCGGTCTCTTTTACATTGTTCATCATCTTCAGGGCCAATGTCAAAACTTTCTGTGTATGAATGATCATCTTTGTGTACATCTTTGTTTCTTGTGTACATGTGATCACCGTTTTCTGTGATGTCATCAGTATGTGTGTTGTTACCATGACTATATGGATCAGAATCCATGAGACTTTGTTCTATTGCAAGCTGTATCATCTCGTCTTCTGTCATTTGATTTACATTTTTAACTTTTGAGACATCTGTAAGTAAAATAAATATATTATTTTACAATGTTCAAGTCGTAAATGCTTGTGCAACTAACAGATCTCTGAACTTTATGATCTTTGCAAAACAAAAAACAAATTAACAGTAAAGATATAAAATCTGCATAAATAGCAGAATTAATATGAAAGTGACCCAATAAAAATCTTTATCTAAGTATAATTTCAGCCATATGAAAGCATCTTAGTTAGATTAGCAAGAAACACGCAAGCCACTATTGTCTTTCTTGAGCACCGGAGTAGATCCACCGACATTCCATAAGCTAGCCGGATAGCTTTCTCACATCAAAGAATGCAAATTTTCTACGAGTAATCAACAAATACATCATAAAATAATTTACGAGTACATTTCCGTATCAATAAACTATTTTTTAATGTGAAATTGGCAAAGGCTACTGAATTAATGCAGCACAAAATTTAAATTATCTAGTACGGAAAACTTGAGGTAGTCTTAGTTTAGTTTTCTTAGACTGATACATTATTCTCAAATTATGTGAAAAACAAGCTGAATTCCATTCAAATTAAAAATTGCCCAAAACTGCAGATTTTGAGAAATTTATTTTACAATACAAAATTAAGAAATATTTAAAAATTTGTGATTTTTTTTTTAGAGATTTAAAAAAAGAACGGTCAATTAATACTGATTGTTTTTTTCTTTTTGTTACCTGATTTACGTTCCTGACGACTAAGTTCTAAAACTCTCTCAAAATTGGTCGTAGAGTCTTCCCCGTAGTCTCGACACATCTGTTTGATAAAAATATTGTCAGTATATAACTACAATATTATATGACAAAACCAACATAGTGCGTTTGCGACCAGTATGGATCCAGACCAGCCTGCGTATCCACGCAGTCTGATCAGGATCCATGCTGTTCGCTTACAAAGTCTATAACGAGTAGAGAAACTGACAGCAAACAGCATGGATCCTGATCAGACTGCGTGGATGCGCAGGCTGGTCTGGATCCATGCTGGTCGCAAACCCATTAAGTTGGTTTTGTCATGACGCGGCTCATAACTACAATATTATATATATATATATATACCGTTAATGTGTAGCTTTGATGTCATCATCAAAACAAAATTGCATACGATTTTGCTGTACACCAACAGCAGAACTGTTGGTGTTCTTTTTAACGTTGGAATTAAAACAAGAACAGTACAGGAATTTTTCAAGATCACAAAACTAAAACTAGCTGGATAGCTTCTTCACATGAAATAAGCCAAAGTCACTGTCTAGATTCAAACGTACAGTGGTCAGGAGCAAGTGGATTTAAGTAAACACCCTTAACCACTCAACCCTTAAATTGGTAACAAGATATAGTAGCTCATTTTTCTCTCTAAAAGAAAACAGACTGTTATATATCAGCTCTATCTCATGCTGTTTTTTCTCAGGTTTGACAGGGTTTTCATTATCAACAGATTTGCTAGCCATATCACCTGTTAAAATGCTTTGTATTTTCAGTCTGTAGATAAAAATATTCCCCTTGACCCTTAGCTAAATAGATGTTATCCAGAACTCGGCAAATGTTGGTTTTTCCCCAGCTAATCAGTAAACTAGAAATGTGTCATCATGCCACGGATGCCCCCGCATGCAGCCAAAATTTCAGATGGTGCATTAATTATTTTTTTCATTTTAAGTTTAAAGCCCTTAAAACTTTTCAATGTTAACACAAACCATTTTCATAAAATGTTCAAGGCATTGAAACTATTCAGTCTAAACCTTTTAAAAATAGCATATTGCATATTTGTAGCCAAAATAATGGCTAAAAGTAAGAGTGCTGAAACTGAAAGTTCAAAATTTTTCCAACATTCAGGAAAGATAAGTTTGTCTTAAATCATTGAACTACAACCAAATTCAAACTTAAACTGCTTATTCCTAAGATGTATCTATATTATTTTCAAAGTGAAAGGGACATAACTCTGCCAAAAAATCATCAAACCATGATCAACTTCCAACTTGACCTGCCCATTCCTTTGACATATCCATATGTCAAATTTAAGTTGAATATGTAACACTGTTGGGTAGATAATGAAAAGAAACTGTAAATTTCATATTATTTTCAAAGTAAAAGGGGCATTACTCTGCCAAAAATCATTGAACCATGACCAAACTCAAACTTGGCCCGGGCATTCCAAAAATATATCCATATGTCAAATTTGAGTTGAATGTGTTGTACTGTTGGGGAGATAATAAACAGAAACTGAAAATTTCATATTATTTTCAAAGTGAAAGGGGCATAACTCTGCCAAAAATCATTGAACCATGACCAAATTCGAACTTGGCCCGGGCATTCCAAAAACATATCCATATGTCAAATTTGAGTTGAATGTGTTGTACCATTGGGGAGATAATGAACGGAAACTGAAAATTTCATATTATTTTCAAAGTGAAAGGGGCATAACTCTGCCAAAAATCATTGAACCATGACTAACTTCGAACTTAACCTTCGCATTCCTTTGACGCATCCATATGTCAAGTTTGAGTTGAATGTGTTGTACGTTTTGGGAGATAATGAACGGAAACTGAAAATTTTATATTATTTTCAAAGTAAAAGGGGCATAACTCTGCCAAAAATCATCGAACCATGACCAAATTCGAACTTGACCTGTATTTTCTCATGACATATCCATATGTCAAATTTGAGTTGAATGTGTGCAACCGTTCTTAAGATAATGAACGGAAACTGATGATGACGGAATGACAGAATGACGGAAGGACGGAAGGACGGAATGACGGAACAGGGTAACACTATATGCCCCGGCCATTACATGGCGGGGGCATAATAAAAACAAACTTTTACCCTTATAGCTTCGAGAGGCAGTACCCATCACAATAGATAAGTCAACCTGTAGCACTTTTTTTTTACGAAGCTATAACTGTTTTAACAGGGTTCATACAGACCATCCAGGACAAAATTCAAGGACTTTTCAAGGACTTTTTCAAGTATTCCAAGGACTAAAATATGTGACACACTAAAAGACAAATATGTGTAAAAGGGCGACAATGTATGAAATTAGTGTTTTACATGCAAATACCTGTTGAAGTACTATCAAATTTATGAAGTTTTTTCTAAGAGTGCAAGATTTTGCAGTAGTTGCTTCAGAGGGTGGGAGTGGTATTGTCAGATTATTGTTATTGTCATCTTTATTCAAGATAGTACTTGCACCTAAACTGAAGAAGCTAGTTATATCCTGATTACATTCTCTCACTGTTGTGAATTGTTTGTGTTTCTCACTTTAATGTGCGATTTTATAGCACTTTCACCCATTCCTAAAATGTCTATAATCTTATCACAAGCGCTACACATCGCCTTTCTTTAATCACTCTTGAATTCTTTAATGAAAGGGTATTTTTCTACTTACTTTGGCGAGAAATTACACTTCTTCATTTTTTTGATGAATAACCCAAACCGGTCCGTGAAATTTACACGTCATGAATATTTCAATCATGTATAAAAGCCGATACCCATTCTGTACCGTTTCACTATCTCGTTACGAAGTCGTTTTTTTTAAAATTGATGTATATTTGAGTTTTGTTTTTTGGCTGCTGTTTTACTCATTTTAGTCGTTTTGTGGTACTTAACCCTTTCGCTGCCAGAGGGTTATTGTTTTATTGTTCACCTATTTGCCAGTGGGTTTTCTAAGAAATTACTATATTATTAATTAATATAATTATTATTATTTGTTATTAGTATTATAATAATTATATATGTTTCCAAATCTGTTAGTATAATAATAATTATTGTCGATGGTATAATTTTCTTTATATTTATTATCATTTTTATTATTATTATTATTAATTTATTATTATTACTATAATTTTTAAAGAAACGGCTAAAGCCGTCCATATGGCAAATACGCCGAAAACAACAGGGACGGCTTAAGCTGTCCCTATGGCAGTGAAAGGGTTAATGAAGAATTCGTGGATTATTGAACAAAATTCTCAAGTTTCCTGTAAAATTCAAGGAGTTTTCAAGGACTTTTTCCCTGGACAAAATTCAAGAAGTTTTCAAGGACTAACCACCAAATTCAAGGACTTTTCATGGCCTGTGCGAACCCTGTTTAATTTGTTTGTACCTACGAATTAGCTAGGAAAAGCCAAAATATTCTTAGTTCTGAAGGTTAGTCTATAAATTGTTTTCACTGGCACATCTGTTGCCTCAGATTAAAATGAAAATCCTTATATGGCAGTAGAAGATGTGTGTAACTTTTGTGAACATTATTATTCTAACCTGATCTTTTTCCTCTTGTTCTTTTAGACTCATTTCAATGGCTCGACTAAGTTCCTGATCCTCCTCGTCCTCTAATGTTAGAACATGGTCTCCTTCTTCTTTCTGATTATAATAAATAACAGTCTTTGTTTGTTTGTTTCATTTAACACCTTTTCCCAACAGTATTTCAGTCATATAGGCGGGTAGTTTCCTAACCATCGTTCCTGGAGAGTTACTAGAGTACCTTCCTCCGTGCTAAACTACCAAAGCATCTCCCGAGGATCGAACCCACGCCAGAGAGGTAACTGGATTAAAAGTCATCGACTCTTAACCGCTCGACCACGGAGGCGGTAATAACAGTCTTATTATTAGTCTTGATCTCAGGCTGTTTAAATTGGGCCACAATAACAAAAGAATTAAAGTAACTCCACTGAGGTAATTTTGTTAGTTTTATTAGGTTTTACGTCACACCGACACAGTATAGGTCATATTGCGATGTTCCAGCTTTACTGGTGGAGGAACACCTCAGGTGCCCTTCTGTGCATTATTACAGGCTTGAACAGGCACCTGACTAGAACCACCAACGCTCTGTAACCTAGCTGGATAGCTTGGTCGCATGAAAGATTCCAAAGACCCCTGTCGGGATTCAAACCCACAGCGGTGAGGGGCAAGTGGTTTAAAGTCAACGACCTTAACCACTCTGTCACGGACGCCCCTCTACTGAGGTCCAAAAGCCTAAAAACATAAGATTTGAATTTCTTCTAACACTTGAACACTTAAAACATTGGCTAGCTGGTTAGACTTTTAATTGGCAAACTGTTCTATACAGAGATTCTCATTATTTAATATGGTTGGGTTTTACATCACACCAACAAAGTACACTGGAGCCGCGATATAGCGCTCATGTTGGGGTCCATGATCTCAAGACAGCGTTGTAACAACTAACTTTTTATAACGCTCATTTTGTAATTATAGCAAAAATATCGTATTACCCCACCCACCGCCGAAACATATAACGCTTGTTAGTGGAAATGATTGTTTACTTACCTTCCAATGGATATCAGTCCAAGCTTTTTTATATATTATTATTTATTATTTTGTAAAGCATTACTGAATATCTTCAATATAAACATGAAATTTATGAATTAAAAATATAAACCATGAATGAATGTTTGTAAATTTCCAGTAAAACAGCGGTGTTAGCATGAGTTATGTGTGGTCATGAAAATTGATACCTAGTGGATGGGACTAAATTAATCGTCTTTCCTGCTGTCTCTTGTGAAAAAATCAGTCATCCACAACAACTTTTTTTGCAGATAGATCAAAAGTGCATGCGTTTTAAAATTAATTGTACGCTTGGGTGATTTACTTAACTCGTCGGTGTTTGCATGTCTTAGCTAACAGTTTGATACCTGACTGATCAACAGTTCAAAATGAACAAAAGAGCGGATTAACGCTTACCTGTGTATGACTTCACACCTTTTTATCATGAGTGACGTAATTATGACTGTTTATTGCACTCGACTGACACATTGAACAAGCGTTATAGTGGATAAGGTGCGGTATTGATATACATGAAAAAAAAATATAATTGGCGAAAAATACGATTTTTTTTTGGGAGCCAAGGCATATGAGCGTTCTACTGAGATTAGCGCTATACCGAACAGCGCTATATCGTGGCTCCAGTGTATACTGGTCGGAGACCATCAACCGGACACTTTTGGAACATTTTTCCGTACAGATTTCATAATTTTTAACCTAGAGACCAAAATATTTGACACAGTTCAGCTAGGTTCTTCTCCTAACTAATAAACTAGTTTGTTTATTTCTGATTGTATTGACACTTATATCTGAGGCTTGACAAGGAGGGTATCAAAATTACCTAAACAAGATATGTTTGTAAAACATGTATGCCCCCTATCAGCAGCCAATTAGTCATGTGATAAGGTTATTATGACTTCTGACCCAGTGATCAAACAATTAATAAGGGTTATCAAGTATCTACTGGTCATGACCTTAACCTTTGACCCCTTGACCCAAAACTCAATAGGGGTCATCTGCTGGTCACGACCAATCATCATACAAAGTTTGAAGTTCCTAGGCCTCAGCGTTTTTAGTTAATTGATCGGAAACCGTTTTAACATACAAGGTCAATGTGACCTTGACCTTTGACCCCTTGACCCCTAAATCAATAGGTCATCTGCTGGTCATGACCAATCACCATACCATGTTTGAAGTTCCTAGGCCAAAGGGTTCTTAAGTTATTGATTTGAAAGCATTTTTACCTACAAGGTCAAAGTGACCTTGCCCTTTGATCCTTAACCCCAATATCAATAGGGGTCATCTACTGGTCATGACCAATAATGATACCAAGTTTGAAGTTCCTAGGCCTAAGGGTTCTTTAGTTATTGATCGGAAACCGTTTTTACCTAAGAGGTCAATGTGACCTTGACCTTTGACCCCTTGACCCCAAAATCAATAGGGGTCATCTACTGATCATGACCAATCACCATATCAAGTTTGAAGTCCCTAGGCCTAAGGGTTCTTTCGTTATTGATCGGAAACGGTTTTTACCTACAAAGTCAATTTGACCTGGACCTTTGACCCCTTAACCCCAAAATCAATAGGGGTCATCTGCTGGTCATGACCAATCACCATACCAAGTTTGAAGTTCCTAGGCCTAAGGGTTCTTTCGTTATTGATCGGAAATGGTTTTTACCTACAAGGTCAATGTGACCTTGACCTTTGACCCCTTAACCCCAAAATCAATAGGGGTCATCTGCTGGTCATGACCAATCACCATACCAAGTTTGAAGTTCCTAGGCCTAAGGGTTCTTTTGTTATTGATCAGAAACCGTTTTTACCCAAGAGGTCAATGTGACCTTGACCTTTGACCCCTTGACCCTAAAATCAATAGGGGTCATCTACTGATCATGACCAATCACCATACCAAGTTTGAAGTTCCTAGGCCTTAAAGTTCTTTAGTTATTGATCGGAAACCGTTATTGCTTACAAGGTCAATGTGACCTTGACCTTTGACCCCTTGACCCCAAAATCAATAGGGGTCATCTACTGATCATGACCAATCACCATACCAAGTTTGAAGTTCCTAGGCCTTAAAGTTCTTTAGTTATTGATCGGAAACCGTTTTTGCTTACAAGGTCAATGTGACCTTGACCTTTGACCCCTTGACCCCAAAATCAATATGGATCATCTACTGATCATGACCAATCACCATATCAAGTTTGAAGTTCCTAGGCCTTAAGGTTCTTTAGTTATTGATCGGAAACCGTTTTTACCTAAGAGGTCAATGTGACCTTGACCTTTGACCCCTTGACCCCAAAATCAATAGGGATCATCTACTGATCATGACCAATCACCATATCAAGTTTGAAGTTCCTAGGCCTTAAGGTTCTTTAGTTATTGATCGGAAACCGTTTTTGCTTACAAGGTCAATGTGACCTTGACCTTTGACCCCTTGAACCCAAAATCAATAGGGATCATCTACTGATCATGACCAATTACCATATCAAGTTTGAAGTTCCTAGGCCTTAAGGTTCTTTAGTTATTGATCGGAAACGGTTTTTGCTTACAAGGTCATTGTGACCTTGACCTTTGACCCCTTGACCCCAAAATCAATAGGGGTCATCTACTGGTCATGACCAATCACCATACCAAGTTTGAAGTTCCTAGGCCTAAGGGTTCTTTAGTTATCACTCGGAAACCATTTGGTCTACGGACCGACGGACCGACAAGTGCAAAGCAATATACCCCCTTTTCTTCGAAATGGGGGCATAATTATCTACACTACAGTACCATGTGTCCGGACAGATATGTACATGATGTGATTCAATTCAGATAAAAGACTGGGTGTTTTGATTTTTGATTTGTAACATGATATACAATATGTCAGCAACAAATGCTGAGGTTTTGGATATTCTATTATTCACTCTGCAAATGATTATAGCTGGTATATGAGGTCAGGCATTGCTTTCTTGACCCCCTAATTTCAACGTTAACATTCTTGAAATAGACATTAAAATATTACCATTTACGAATAGGTTGAAACAAATTCATTTACTTAATTTTAAAAGAAACATGCACTTATTGTTGATAAAAAAGTGACTGACAACCACTGAACAAAGAAAATACTAAATTAAGCATTTTCGGGGCCGTCCGGGTTTAGTGGTTGGCCGGTTTTGGTGGTCCCCAACCAGTAGGTCATATAGTGACAATTCAGCCTTGCTGGTGGAGGAACACCTTGGGGTGGCTCTAAGTACATTATTTCGGGCACAACAAATGGGCATCTGAGTAGAACCACTGACGTTCTGTAAGCTAGCTGGATGGTTTTCTCATATGTTGAATCTGGCGACGCTTGCACAGCTTAAGCCTACATCAGTGACAGGCAAGTGGTTTGAAGTTAAATGACTTTAACCATTCAATCACAGATACCCCTATTTTCATAATTGTTATTATTGTCATTTGCACCAGATAAAAATGCAGCAATATGTTACTATCCGTAACTTACACAAGTTTAGACTGGAAAAATAAATTCTCACCTTTTCTTTAGTTTCTGTAAACTGGGACCCATTCTCTTTTGATTTGTTAAATAAATCAGTTGAGGTAGATTTGCTCTTAAACTGATATCTGGAAAAAAACAAAACATTTGAGCTGTGCAATGACATAACAAAACTTAATGGGTTTGCAAATAGCATGGATCCAGAACATCCGCGCAGTCTGATCAGGATCCATGCTGTTCGCTATCAGTTTCTCTACTTGTTATATGGTTTGTAAGCAAACAGCATGGATCTTGATCAGCTGTGCGGATGTGCAGGCCGGTCTGGATCCATGCTGGTCGTAAACCCATTATGTTGGTTTTGTCGTGACGTGGCTAGTTTAACATTTACAACAGGTTACACTTGAATATATCCCTTTTTTTGCCCTCCACCAATCATGATACCACCCAGTTATCAGAGAGCCTTTGTTGCTAAGTGGTTGCTATGTTTTCATCACTTGCCTTTCAATGTAGTTGGTTCAAATGCTGGTTTCAAACAGACATTCGATTAAAAAATTATAGCACTTTTTAGCTGCATTTTTCAATTTTTATAGCACTTTTATCACTTGTTACCAATGATCAGTTTAAATGATGAAAGTTAAAACATTTACAGAGATCTGCCAAGAATTTGAAAGTACTGGGCCCTGGGCCCACTTGGTCTGAAAATGATGGGCCATTTTTACCCAAGTATGGGCCTTGGGAAAATAAGTAAACATTTACCAAAATAACTGTTAAAAAGTTTGTAGATAATTGAATTGCCCCCGTAATAAAACTTAAATCATATTTTATGACAAGTGGTTCACTTATAATTCAGTACTTTACCAATAATAAAAAATTATGCCTACATGGTAACTTTCTAACTAATATTAATTGCAGGCAAAAATGAAAATATTTTTTAAATGGCTGCTCAAAAATTTGATATGCAAATTTATTCACATAATTGCTGGTTCTTACTTGTAATGTCTTATATTGTGCATTATCCATTTAATTGTTCCTACTTTGCACCAAATATCCCTAACCACTGTATATTGACGAATTTTATTGCCCCTTGTATGCCTCTGTGTAGACAGCATACATCAAAGACATTTGCCGACAGACCTTTTGATGATGAAAAAAGTCATGCACAATGTTTCTCTGATTGGTTAATCACCCTGTCAAACATTCTGACGACGAAATAGACATCTTTTTATTACACTTCATCAGCCAAAACTTGCGTGAACTTGAGTGACCTTAGGGTTGATCAAGTTGAACACCTGTCAGATTATACTGTAACTTACAGCATTTCTTAAAATAGCAACACTTTTTTCAGTTACCGATAATCATTTTAAATATTAAGTAGTTGTTTAATTTGTTTGTTTGTTTTATTGGATTAAATTTACGGTAGTAGAAATGAGTATCTGTGTGGGAAAGGGATTATAAGAAGAAATGCGGTAAGTAGATAACATGGACAAAAGCTATAGGGGAATGGATAAACTCAAGAATATGCGTAATTACAGGAGCATGGGTAACATGTTGCTGTTGGTACCAGTTTTGACTGGATGACTAAATAACCCAGCAGACAGTTTTGTTTTCTTATAAGTCTGGCACCGATTTTAGATGCGCCCATGGCCCTTTGCTGCCGATTTTCCTGCGCCATTCTCATTTTTTTAGCGCCAATGGCGCAAAATCGCGTCCTCGGCAGATCTCTGCATTTAAGTATTTGAATCCTGTTTTTCCTTTTAATAACAAATAATACATCATTTTTTACAATAATTATGGCTAGAAGTGTTACCTAGAGTAAAATATTTTTTCATTTAATTTTGATACTAAATGGGCACGTTTGTTAAGAACTATTAACTCTTTATTAAGCACCTTTTATTTTCAAGCATGATTTCAGACAAATTCAAGCATTATTCAAGTACTTTTTATGAGTAACCAAATTCAAAGATATTTTCGCTTAAGGGTCCATTTTTTTAAAAAGCACTTTTTAAGAAAGGGACAAAAATTTAAGCATTTCTTAAGACTGCAAAAGTTCTGGAATCCTACCGTTGTGAAAAAGAACATAAACAAAACAAGCAAACGCTCCAGGATATGAAAAAAGGTCATTAGTACTACTACAATATCTGCTTTTTTATGTGCTGTCTTTTTTCTCATAAAATTTTTTACTATAACCACCTTCTTTTTTGTGTGTGTTTCAGTTTAAGACATTACTTGTTTTTTTTCCCCAAGCATTTCAGCCATCAACTAGAATTGTGGCCATAGGACATAGATGCCCAAACATTCCACTGGTTTGTCAGTCTATTAAAGGACAAAGTGATATAGCATGACAAACAAGGAAGAGCAAATCTATATGTCCCCCCACCACTCCTCTACATAAATTGGTCATAAAAAAGGAAAGAAAATGGTACTTGCTAAGCACAATTGGTAGGTATCCCTCAATGTGGCTAATCTTAGAAAGTACCAACTGTACCTGTTATGAATCATAGACATGTAGACACAGGATTGCGCAATTTTCATCACATAAAAAAATGTCAATTTAAAAAACTATGTACAAAGCTTACCCTGAATACTCCAATTTTCTTCTACTGGGAAGTTCTTCCTTTGAATCGTCCAACACACTTCCATTTATCTTGTTATTACTGCAATATAAGTATATCATTACTTCTTCATCACCAAGGATACTGCTATACAAATGAGCTGTGTCACGACAAAACCAACATAATGGGTTTGCGACCAGCATGGATCCAGACCAGCGTAGTCTGATCAGGTATCATGCTGTTCGCTATCAGTTTCACTACTTGTAATAGGGTTTGTAAGCAAACAGCTTGGATCATGATCAGATGGAGGGGATGCGCAGGCTGGTCTGGATCCATGCTGGTCGCAAACCCATTATGTTGGTTTTGTCATGGCGCGGCTCAAATAAGGGTTAAATTACAGCTCAGACATAATAACAAAGATCTATTTCATCTTATATTCAACTTACAATAGATGTTTTGACAGTTTCATGCCAAATAGCTAAAGTCTAACTCTTTGGGTTTTTTTAAAAGAAGATATTTTAAGCTTTTCTCTGTTGGTTGTCATGGCAACCAGAGTTCTGCATGAAATTAAATTCTTTGAACAATTTTCAAAGGTGACCACCAAAGGAACATTCCTGTGAAGATTAGATGAAATTGGCTTAGTGGTTTATGAGGAGATGTCAATTAAAGTAAAAGTTTACGGACGGATGCCGTACGAAAAGCAATCACAAAAGCTCACCCTGTTTCTTTGTGACAGTTGAGCTAAAAACTAACCTTTGAGAGATGTCCATCAATGTGTGAGGGAAGGCAGGTTGTGTTTCCTCTGTACAGTGATTCTGCATGGTAAGGAACATAGGAACAGACACATTCTGTCCCATCTTGGTATGTTTTGAAAACACCTGATTATAACTGTAGCGCTTTAGATGTAGAATAAACACCCTGAAATTATAATAAACACAAGTGTTGCATGGATCATCATAACTGTACTGATTGCCAATATGCAAAAGAAGCTATTTATGGTTAAAAAGAATCTATTTGGTAACACACCACCAAAATTAACAAGCATTTGATAGTATTGCGGGCAATACAGTAGTCCCCTACCGGTCCCTCAAAAAGTTCTTTAATTGTCATACACTCCTGTGTATTGCCATTTATAATGAATTTGAGGATGAAGTCTGTATTTGAAAATATCAACCACAAAACATAATAAAATAAGTTTGTCTATATCACAGTAATGTGTTAAGTTTCCATGCTTAGTAAGGAAATTATGTTTATACAACCTTGTCATATTATTACGATGTGGGATTTTAAAGTAAATCCTATAAGGAATGAAGAAGTTGGAGTGAAAATACCAGTTTCTCGAAAAAAATCTAAGTTAAAGGGGGACATAATCCTGGAAATAGTCTTGCTAGAGTATTTAACCTTCTCAAAAATGTCGAGTGATAATAAGAAACATATATATGAAGTTTGAAGTAGATACATTAGGAAATAAAGAAGTTATTTAAAAAAGACAACATTTTTTCCCCTAAAAAATCTAAGTTCAAGGGAGGTAATACTGATATTTTTTTGTGCTAGAGTTATAAACCTTGTCACATATGATGTGGTTGATGACCAGAAACTTATATTTAAAGTTTGAAGTAAACACCTTAAGAAATAAAGAACATATAGTGAAAAAGCTGAAAAATTTAAATCAGAAATCTTGAAATTCAGGCTATTTGTTGCCATAGCAACCAGAATTTTCAACATAGGAAGAAAAGAAAAAGATGTGCATAATCTCAAGACTGCCATCTACCCATATTTCAAGTTTCATAAAAATATTTTCAGTACTTTTTGAGTTATCACTGGATCCAGTTTATGTGTTAAATTTGCCATATTTTCAGACTATTTGTTAATATTTAAAAAAATCTAAGTTAAAGGGGGACATAATTCTGGAAATAGTCTTGCTAGAGTATTTAACCTTCTCAAAAATGTCGAGTGATAATAAGAAACATATATATGAAGTTTGAAGTAGATACATTAGGAAATAAAGAAGTTATTTAAAAAAGACAACATTTTTTCCCCTAAAAAATCTAAGTTCAAGGAGGTAATACTGATATTTTTTGTGCTAGAGTTATAAACCTTGTCACATATGATGTGGTTGATGACAAGAAACTTATATTTAAAGTTTGAAGTAAACACCTTAAGAAATAAAGAACATATAGTGAAAAAGCTGAAAAATTTAAATCAGAAATCTTGAAATTCAGGCTATTTGTTGCCATAGCAACCAGAATTTTCAACATAGGAAGAAAAGAAAAAGATGTGCATAATCTCCAGACTGCCATCTACCCATATTTCAAGTTTCATAAAAATATTTTCAGTACTTTTTGAGTTATCACTGGATCCAGTTTATGTGTTAAATTTGCCATATTTTCAGACTATTTGTTGCCATAGCAACCAGAATTTTCAACATAGGAAGAAAAAAAAAAGACGTGCATAATCTCCATACTGCCATCTATCCATATATCAAGTTTCATAAAAATATTTTCAGTACTTTTTGCGTTATCGCGGGATCCAGTTTTGTGGACGGACGGACTGACGGACTGACAGACAGACAGACAGACGGACAGACAGACGGACAGACAGACAGACGGACGGAGGGTAAACCTAAAGTCCCCTCCGGTTAAACCGGTAGGGGACTAAAAATCTTATGAAAAACAAAGATTTCTCCTTTCCAGTCTGGTTTTCGGTCACAACAACACAGTAAAGCTTTTCTTTGTTTTCGGTTTTACGTCACATCGAAAACAGTATAGGTAATATGGCGAATTTCCAGCTTTACTGGTAAAGGAAGATCCTAGTTTTCATTCCAAGTATTTTTTCAGGCACAACTGGGCACATGAGTAGAACTACCAATATTCCATAAGTTGGCTGGATAGCTTCCTCACAAGAAAGAATCTGAAGTCCCTGTCTGGATTCAAACCAACAGTGGCTTGAGGCAAGTGGTCTTAACAACTTAGCCACGGACAAAATCAACAAATATTATAACATTTATAAAGCTAGCAACCAGAAATTTACAGAAATTTGTTCTGAGAAAATTAAACGTACTGACATGTATAATTTCCATATTGCAATATTTTCATAAACCTAGTTTAAAGAACTTTTTGTATAATCCTTAGAAGAGCCACTGCATCCCGATCTTACAAGCTTTGCACTTTTGATCAGCATTATAAATTATAAATACCAGTAATTGATACATACAGACTAATCATAAACTGATATAATTAGATTTTAATGATAAAGATAAAGACTGCAAACTCTATATAAAATGAATTAGACAAGGCTGTATTAATGGCCATTACTCTATAGTTATTGGTCCCATATAAAAATACGAGCAATGTGAACTAAAATATATGTCAACATTTTGCCATGGCACACATTTTTCTTTACTACATGCACCTGCAGATTAACAAGAACAGATATATCACACACACCCTTAAAAAGAAGGGTTATAAGAACATCAAGAATATCTGTTCACACTGACCTTGGTAGACGAGTGATTTGATGAGTGACATCAGACTTCCCGTGACCACATTTTTCACAAGTGTACTCTATCTGTTCACTTTTGAAGAATAAACTTAAGGCATCTTGGAGTGATCTGGGCGTCATTAAATCTCTGAAATAATTTGTAAGTTATATTACCACACGTTAATAGTTCATACAAATTTATTTAAGTTTGATTGTGTCCGAAGCTATCAGCTTATTGAAACACTCTCTAATCTGTTCTAGGAACCAACCAGTACTTAGCAAGAAGTGTAGTCATTTGCTCACGGAACCCTGACAGGGATTGAACCCATGCAGCCAACAATCCTTACATTACTAGACCAACATGTTAAACACTCAGCCATGTCACCACAGGTAAATAACACACCAATTCAAGCCACTGATAAATTCATCAATTAATTTTTCATGATTAAACAACTTTCCCAGGTCATTTTCATGATGCTCAATTAAAGACTCAGTAAAGTTTATTTATTACAGACATAGTTTATAAGATCACATGCATGTGCCAGATATCCTGACTTAAAATTAAATTGAAATAATTTATAACTGTAAGAAAGATCTAAGAATTTCAAATATAAATTGTTCAGAAATCTACAAACTCGTGTGACAATTTTTTTTTTTTCAATCAAAACAGCATAACCATAATGTGAATGGGAACAGATGGACAGAAATTAAAAATAAATTTATCCTGCCCATCTGTTACCCATCTTCTGCAAAATCTGTGTAATAAGACTCATCCAGCCTTAAAGTTGGGTTTAATTTTTTTTTTCAAAGTGTCAAAAACAGTATAACCATCATCTCAGTGGAAATAGATGGACAGAAAAATACACAACTGTGAAAAATTATAATGCCCATCTGCAACCCTGATTCTGCTGAATTTTTGTAATGAGCTCGCCCAGACTTAAATCTGGAACTGTCCATTGTGACTGTTAGGGATTTTTGTTTCATTTTCAAGACTTCAAGGGTGTGCACATAACATAACATATGATAGACATACTTTCTCTTTGGCACATCCAGAGATATGTCATGAAACTGTTCGGTTTTTGTCACTTCCTCTCCACACCTACAAATATAGAAATGCAAAATGGATCTTTAAATCAATCATATTAATTAGCTCTATATTCTTTAAAGCAGATTGGTCCACAATTACAGTGAAAGCAGTTTAAAAAATATCAGAAAATCTGAAAACACTAAATTTAGTATTATTTCAATTGGATTTATATAGATATAGAGAGCTTTCAAGTACAAAAATCCAATGTCCAAAAACTTGTACTCATGCAATGAGCACATTTTCCTATTAATATAAACAATAGAAAGCTTATTATTTGGATATTATTATAAACAAACATGCCATAATTGACATAAATCTTCTCCGGGACAAACACCTTATTTCCGGGATTTTCACGGACATCCGGGACGTTATGGCATGTATGTTATAAAATATCTACTGACAAACGAAAATGTTCATAAGAGTTCTGCTGCTTACTGTAAACAGGTTAATGTATGTAGGACTTCAAATTCAAAGTTGACAGTGATTGGATTATTGCCATTGAAAGGTTGGACAGCCTCTGCCTTGTTCTCAGCTCCGCCTTCATTCTCCTTATTTGGTGTGGGCGTTCCCCTAGATGCTTTTATCACCTCCTCTTTCAGCTGATCAAGCACCTGCCCTAGAAACTCATGGGCATCCTATTTACAAGTAAAAGAACATTTAAATATAGGTATATATAACGGTAGTAATGAAAGGGTAATTATGGACAAGATGCATTGAATGTATACAAAGTACATGAAAAAAAGCTGTTTTTTAATGATACAAGGGGCAGTAACAGTTTTTAATTGATACAAAGGGAAGTAACTCACATGCTGTCCATAACCGGAGAACCTTTTGGCTGTGGTCGATATTGCACTTTTAACACGTCTTAATGCCTCTCTTCGTGAAATATCACTGGCATTCAACTGTCTTTTCACAAATAATAATTTGACTAGAGCACTGAAAAATATATATAAATTACCAGAATATAATCAAAATGAAATTTCTAACATTCACTCAGAAAGCCTAGATGAAAGTTCAATATGTAGTCTTTATAGAATAACATAAGATTTATATGGGCCACTTCATGACAAAACCAACATAATGCGTTTGAGACCAGCATGGATCAAGACCAGCCTGCACATCCGCCCAGTCTGATCAGGATCCATGCAGTCCGCTTACAAACTCCATATCAAGTGATGTAGAGAAACTGACAGCAAACAGCATGGATCCTGATCAGACAACGCGGATGCGCAGGCTGGTCTGGATCCATGCTGGTTGCAAATGCATTATGTTGGTTTTGTCATGGCGCGGCTCATTTATTATGATAACAGTTCCTATAATAATCATTTATTACAATCATTGTAAAATTTTTTACATGCACTTGCGTCTGTCAGAAACATTCACAACAGCAAGTGGCTGTAAACAGACAAGATATAGATATATTTATACATCAAAGTTCAATTTACTGAGAAGTGGAAACAAGATCAAATCTAAGAACAGAGGTATATTGATCTTGAACTTCCATGATAAATGTTTTCATCAAAGTACCCTTGAAAGTTTATCTACCATTTAAAGATTACCTGTCTTGTTTATTATTTGTCTATGTTATTTACGTGTATGACAGTCTTTGCTATCATTTTTTATGTGTATGTGTGTTTGTAAATAGCCACCAAATACAAATGTACTGCTGATCGTCAATAAATTAAAAATTGAAACTTGATAAAAATACTCACTAATATAGTGAATGTTGCTGAAGTGTTTTCACAAACTTTTTGCTGGACATTAGATCCGTTGAGAATGTCTCGAGACAAAACAACGACTGGAGGATGGCATTCATGTAACATGTATTACCTAAGTTGGAGAACCTGAAATAAATATTAATATTATCATTTCGAAGAAAGTAAAAATGAAAACAATCGCAATATTAAAATGTTTTATTTCTTTGTCAGCATGCTGTTTGATCATTTGACTTTAACCTTTATTGAGTGGAATAGAAAGAAGAGCTTTTGAAAATAGAATTGATCAATCGAACAGACTGGATGAGCTCTTCTAATATTTGTAGCTCTTCCATTTTCCAAATCAAACGAGCAACAAGTGATCATCCTTTAGCACCAGTGTTAAATCCATGCGGTCTGACCAGGCTCTATAATATTGGTAGCTCAATTTTTGTATTTTAATATTGGATAACCCTTAAAATTTTTAAATACATTTGTTCAAAGCTGTGTAAATCCATAACACTAATACAGCAGGGAAAGTGTTAAAATTCAACACAAAAATGATTTAACTAAACATGTTCTGTATCAATTTTTTATTGCAATAAAGTTCAAAGGAAGTTGAATTAAACTTTTGTTACCACTTTAAAGGTTAAGTCCCCAATAGCTTTTATAAATTTAAAGTCCATCCTCTGATAAGCGTGGGTATAGATTACTTGGCTCAGTAGTCTAAATTGTTGTTACTTTAGTAGGTAAGCAGGACGCTGGGAGGTTGTACGTTCAAATCCCAATGGGATCTTTTTCTGATGCATTTGCATCTTTTGTATTACAATGTAATACCATAATCACAAGATAAGTTACCCATGCATTTAACAACCTTTAGACTTTGTATGAATCTATATTTATCAGTGACACCTTCATACATTTTGCATCTTTGTATAACCACATATACCAGAAGAAATGAGCCGTGTCACGACAAAGCAAACATAATGAGTTTGCGACCAGCATGGATCCAGACCAGCCTGTGCATCAGCTCAGTCTGATCAGGATCCATGCTGTTCGCTTACAAACTCTATAACAAGAAGAGAAACTGATTGCGAACAGCATGGATCCTGATCAGACTGCGTGTAAGCACAGTCTGGTCTGGATACATGCTGGTCAAAACCCACTATGTTGGTTTTGTCGTGGCGCGGCTCATTTGTTTTTATACCTACCCTTGTAAAGCCTGTTGCTGGTTGGTATCGGTGGGTTGTGTGGGCTTCATTTTCATACTGTATGATATACTACTGTCCAAAAGTCTGGCCCTCTTTATAGGAGTTGGGTCTGGCATGAGACCTGGCGCTCGTTTGCTAACAAAATCATAATCATACAGTCGTTTAATGATAATGAAAAATACAGTTCGTCATTAATAATTCAAAAACACTAAAACAAGAGACAGGACTTTGTTACAAAACCATTTTTTTTGCCTATATAACAATGCGTGAAAGAAAAAACAACTGACCATAATTGTGCTAAAGAATTATAAAGTCACAAAACCACATAACGTGCATCACAATATCTTTTGGCGACAATACTTGCACTTCAGTTCAAATCCATTTTGAAATATAGACTTGTGCACAGAAGATAATGTTAATGCCAGATCACCTTGCCACCCATTTGACGACATACACCAATCTAATAATAAGTATTTTCAGTGTTTTTTTTGGTCGAAATATTCAGCGATATTCGGCCCCTTTCCCCACCTCTCGGAATATATATTTTTCCCCATGAAATTGCGAAAATTCCCCACCGTCAAAAAATATACCCAAACAAGAAACAGAAAGAAGACACACAAACCATAAGTAAAATATGCCAATTTATTTTGATTCACAAAGCAAATTCATGAACTCAATCATTATTATCAGGGATGTTTACTTTACGCTTGCTTTGCGACATAGGGCGTTCGTTTTACCGCGGCTGTAAGACAATACGGTAGCGCGACAATCGGTTATTGAGTTTGTTATTTACCGTTGGCTTTAATGAAATAATACATGCAAATATTTATAATTAAACACTCGCCTACTTGGTAAGTATAAAATAAACAGAATATTATAAAATGAAAGAAAAATACGCTATCAAAAAGAGATTACAGTAACAAGATGAAAATCCTCAAGTTACTGAACTGCCGATGTGTCGAATTGTCGCTGTATCTTTACGGCTTTTACGACTATCGCATTTACTGCAAAAATGTCACACAACAGTCGATCGAAAGATAATAAATAAAAAATGTTCCTCGAAGAACAAACGTATTGATGTTCTTTTTAAACAGCAGGCACTTTCTGTGCTAAGTTCAAAGGAAAAATATCAAAAACCAGACCAATGCAAGCTCGATTATGCGATATTTTTTTCTCAGCGTATTTTATTTAGTAATAATAGTTAATACATGATATAAATATTTCCAATCAATTCACTAAATAACTTGTCTGCCAGTGCAAAGAAATGATAAATTATGATTATAGAAACTGCGATTATGTATGCAAAATTTCATAACAAATAAATCTGTGTGAATAATGGCTAATGATATGCTGGTGGAGTTAACATTTGTTGTTATTGAAAAAAAATCTGAAAAATATAAGAAACAAAAAATATCAATAGCATTACTTCAATTTTGAAAACACAGTAAGCGAAGAAAGTGTTCAACTAATTTATTTTATAGGATTGTTAAAAAATCATGTATTTTTAGTCTTTTTATTGAATATTAATAACACTGAAAATTCCCCTTTTTTGGCATTTACGCGCTATTTTTCCCCACCCAATGGGCACTGACCCCCTTCCCCCAAAACTGAAAAAAATCACTGATTTTCTAACTACCACACATCAACATATTTTAATAGAGGCAAACATTGTATCTTACCATAGCCAATAAATATATATATATTTATTTCAAACGGGTTATTCATTTCAATGACACAGTAAAGGTCATATGGTGACTTTCCAGCTTTACAGGTGGAGGAAGACCTTGGATGCCCCTCTATACATTATTTCAGGCATGAGCCAGCACCTGAGTACAACCACCGACGTTCCTTAAATATTTATATTAAACCCTAGTTGAACATGAACTAATTACCTGTTCAGCCATTTAGGTGTGCTACATAACTGTGGCTGTGCCGCAGATTTCCCATAGAATGATGAAGATAGTGGTCCCAGGCATTGACGGCTCTTGTCGGAACTTCTCTGTAGAAACTGATCACTTGATTTTGAACACGATCTATGAAAATACAGTTATAAGATACTTTTACTTAAATTAAAATTTGAGTCACGTCATGACAAAACCAACGTAATGCGTTTGCTTACCAACCCTTCATCAAGTAGCGAACAGCATGGATCCTGATCAGACTGCGCGGATGCGCAGGCTGGTCTGGATCGATGCTGGTCGCAAACCCATTATGTTGGTTTTGTCATGACATGGCTCATTTATTCATACTTGAGAACAAACACAATGCATTATATTTTTTAAGAAAACTTCTTTTCTTAATACTTATAATCATTTATGTTAGTATTATTTTTAATTCATGAAATTCATTGACAGCATTTCTCTCTGTTAATGAAATTTATTGACAGCATTACTCTTCTATCTACAAAGGATCAACTTCCGTTTTTGATCACGTCAGATGAATTAGCTAATCTCATCATCAGAAAATAATTAAAGGAAACACCAGACTGTTCCTCATCCTTGTGCAATAACTAATTAACTGCTTATAAATTTAGAAGCACTTATTACGTTACTGACTAAGGTGACAACCTATGATCTAACATTAATGAACAATTCATAGCAATTGAAAAACTATCAGTTTTTCTTACAAACATATCTGTTGTTTACTCACTTTATCAGATTTTCTTTCCCTTCTATATCCATTGAATCTTTTTTATGTGACTTCATGCTAATAATAGAGGTAATTTTTTTAAATATGGCATAAACCTTTAGTTAAAAATGGTACACTATAAGTGAGGCACTATGTGATAACTATATGAAGAAACATTGGCGACAATAATGCAAAACGTATTGTTTTTCTATGCAAAAATGTTATTTTACCGTTACTTTGAAAAAAAAACAGAAGCTGTCGGTAAGACAGCACATATAACTATTCTCTGTGCCCCAACAGTAAAGAAAAGGGGCATAACTCTGTAAAAAGGTAACTCAGGTTATGGGATATTTGCATATCAAGCAAGATAAGAACAAATGCATTAAGTTTTAACCCATTCCCTTCAGTAGTTTTGGAAATACTAATGTGCATGCAAAAACTTAACCTTAACGCATGCATTATTTCTGGCAAAAAATCTATAAACAATATCACCAACCTAATGGATCAATCTATGCCAGGGCATAAAACGATAATAAAACGATATACACTTTGTTACGTTACCTTGTAAAATTTTGTGAGTAATTTTCTTTTTCAATTTTCATTGCAGGTGGTGAATTGCCGATGTGTGTAAAAAGTCCTGTCTTTGCTGGTGTTGTATTCACACAAACCTCAGAATTGTTTACTTGCGCTGAAAAAATATAATAATCTTCTACAGTGATCTGAAACAGAAAGCCATAAATGTAACCTGTACTAGTGATACTAATACTTCCCAGTTGCACCATTTACTACACACTGCGGTATACCGTACCCGGGATATTGCTCGATATAATGAGGACTTTCATCCCATTTCGCGACTTTGAACGAGGACAGAAGGTAAGTTCAGTGACGATATTTAGTCATTTTGAATTGGTTTGATATAAATTTTATAGAAAAACAAATACTTCGATAATTTCTTAAGTTACTGAAAACCCAAAAATGTTGAGAAATAGCTTTGAAATGTAAAAAGGAGGTAAAATTCGTCTCTTTGCTCGCATGATAAATGACCTCGGATCAGTCAAATTTGATGTTTTTGTGCATATACTTCCTTAAAAGAAAAACTTGAATCGAGTGAAATGTGATAATGATGATAATGTTTATGTTGTAAATATTCAATCAACATTAGAACCTCAGATGACAGTGCATTTTTGAGAATAAATACACATGTCAGTGTACCGAGTATTGCATTGGAGTTGCCCGCCGGTGTCACGAGTATTGCTTTTTAGTGTAACGAGTATTGGTTATCAATATAGAGTAAATGCAAGTAGTAAACAGAGTATTTACCACATTTAATCTTAAATATTTCTTATTGTGCATACTTAATTACACTATATGTGCAGAATATGCAGAGTTCGGGGGTACTTTACTGGATACATCTGCGAATAATCCAGATTTTCATTCCTGCTCATGAAAAATCTCAGTCCAACGAACTCAGCAATTTTCTGTGTTTACAAAGTTCTCGTTGCCATCAACCTTTCCAGAATTTGTCAATAATTATTGCGAATCTTACTTTAAATAGTAAAAAAATGCATCCAAAGTGCATTAATGCTGCCTCAAGATTGTCAATAGTAGACGGTATTGAGCAAGACAATGTGTGTCTCGGTTCAGAACTGTTCACTAATTCCCGGGACCCTCAGGGCTCTACCGACTGAGCAGTTTGAACTTGTAACAGGAGGATTCAATGAAAACAGCCATTTTTCGCCATATGTTTATGCAGTAGAAGGTTAAGACAATACCGGCATGCTTGGACGGCATAAGCCCGCGGGCCAATATTTTACTAAGTGTGTCCATATGTTTCTTTAGGCAAACTTGCCCTGTAAAAACCCTATTATTAATGTCATCTTAATATGTTTTTTATTCTTCTTCTTTTCAGAGATGGGTCTCCTTGATCACAGTTTCTTGAGACATGTATTTAAAGATTTTTGTCGTCAATTTTGATGGTTCTACCCTGCACCCGTCCCTGCTTCCGACCCTGGACACACTTAACGTAACTTTATTTCATCCATAGTGTGATTTTCAATCAAATGGGAAATTAAATCTTTGTATTTGCCCGTAGGAAAAGAGGACCAATAACACTGAAATCTGAAATATTTGAATACATATCAAACAAACAGTGCATTATCAGCAAAATAAAATGGAATCGATAAACAGACGTAAAAAATAAACAAAAATATCGATTTTCCATACTAATGTGCTCATTCTGTTTTGCAATACACTGTACACTTAAGTTGTGCTATTTTGCAATACTCTGTACACTTAAAATCAATACTCGGTACACTTTCTTGTATCTTTTTTGGCCTATATCTTTTTGTACTTTCATACTTTTTGCCTGAAATTTGGCCAAAGCATACTTGGATTGTGAATAAAAAAATTGCTCGATTCAATTTTGTTTATATTGGTAATATTATAATTTCTAACGATTCTACAGTATCGCGGTCAGTATTTTCTAGTGAGCAGCAGATCGTTTAGGGGTATTTTAATCGATTTTACAAATACCTGTAATACTTTTAATTCTTTTAGAGCTACAAAAATACCTCTAGATGTATAAAACCCATTTAGATAAATAAAATAGCCATTAGTTTGGAAAATATCGTCGCTGAACTATCCTTCGTTCCCCGTTCAAAGTCGCGAAATGGGATGAAAGTCCTCATAATATCGAGCAATATCCGGGGTACGGTATACCGCAGTGCTACAGTTTCAGGGAAGTGTTCTACTTTTTTTACATTGCATTGTTAATTAATTTGGATGCATTTTATATATTTTATTGTATCTGTGCATAAAAAGAAGGTGCGACTTTGTTTAATAAATGACATCTATAATATGCTCTTTTATGTCATTATATCATCTTAGTAAATTATTCCATTAAGTAACAATGGTACAGTTAAGAGATGTCGTTTTAACAGAAGACGCATTTCAGTTTATATTTCGAACGATATTTGACATATCAATACATATTACTAATTGGACAAAATTTTTTTTTTTTCAAAATCAATTGGCAACAAGAGCTGTCACCCAAGTGATGAATGCCCCTGAAAAGATTTCTAAAGCATGCAGGTTTTATAAAAAGAAAAGAGAATGAAAGTAACAAATTGCTGAATATTGTTCTTTGTATTATTGTACATGTAATCTCTAATTGTGATGACATGAACCTTCAAAATATAACTGTGACTTTGACATTTGAAGAAGGGACATAGTTCCTGGATGCGACAAATGTTGTTATGAGATAGACATTTGTACCAAATTATTTTAAAATCCCTCAATGCATGACAAAGTTACAGTCTGGACATGATTGTTGTGTAAGTGGGGACAAAAGGAAAGACTGACATGAGCCTAAGCCACAACATATTGTCTTGATGTGGTAGACATTTGTGCCGACTTGAAGCCCGGACACGATTGTGTGTACGTATTAATTCTAAACTTCAATATGTAAGTGTGACCGTGACCTTTGAGGTATAGACGTAATTCACGGACGGGACACATCGTCTTCATGTGGTAGACATTTATGCCTAGTTATTTTAAAATCATTCAATGCATGATAAAGTTACAGTCCAGACAGGAATGTGTGTACCTATTTACTCGAATTGCGATAATATGAAACTTTAAAATGATAGTGTGACCTTGAACTTTGAGGTAGGGACGTGGTTCTTGGACGCGACACATCATCTTGATGTGGTAGACATAATATTTTGTGCCAAATTATTTCAAAATCCCTCGATGTATGACAAAGTTACAGGCTGGACACAAATTAAGTGGGGACTGACGGACGGACAGACGGTTCCATAATATTACGCCTCCCTTCGGGGACATGAAAAAATATAATTGATACATCAGTCTTGTTTCTATCAAAGCAGACAAATGTAACCCTTATATGTCGCTTTTTTCAAGGCGACACAACAAATCAAATTCTATCTGCAGAACATTACAGGGCTTTCGTTTGGTAAAATTTGGGGCCGAATATCGGCCCCATTCCCCCACCAAAAAAGTGTGTTTTTCCCCCTAAAACCGAAAAAAATCCCCCTTGAAATCCCTTGAAATTAATTCTTAACGGGCATAGAAAACGCCGATCAGCGAATGCATATTTCGCGTACGGCAACCGGAAATTAGTATGTATTCCGCGAACGGCAATCGGAAATTAGTATGTATATATTCAAAAACGTTCCGGACGGGTTTTAGCTTCCAACATGTCGCACAATTTCAAGTCGTACCGCAAAAAAAAACAGAAATATTTCATGAAAGCAGCTTAATGATATTTATTTGTTAACTGAATCTTACATTCACTTTTTTCTGTTTTTTTTTCTGAATTAATATTCCTCTGTGGAAATTCCCCTTTTGATGAAAAATATTTGAAAATCATGCAAAATTCCCCCCCTGCATGGACCCTGGCCCCAGTCTCAAAATGCTAACGAGAGCCCTGCATTATCAATGATACATCAATATTATTTCTATCAACACCAGCTCTACACAATGTGACTTACTATGCTTCTTTGTCATGACTTCTTTACACAGTGCCTCTATCTGTTTAGCTACACGTTTATCAGGTGTCTTCAGGTAGAAGGAGATCAGGTCTTTGTCATGTTTATTTCTCGTCACGTCTATCAATATTGTATCCTTACAAACATACTTCTTCAACGTGTCCACATTCAGCTGTTTAAATGATTATTCAGATAAGAATTATGTCAAGGATAAAAAAAAATAGTGCACTGCAATTAAATTTCTTAGGGCCAATTTGAGGCTCTTTTTTCCATTTTTTTTCACCGTCAATGACTGTGACTATGATCATTCTAGTAGCCTTCCATTTTGCTTTATTTTTCCCTGAATCATCAAAGTTTATTTTTTTACTCATCCTGGCAGGGCAGTTCAGCTATTTTGTTTAGACCCCTGGCTTAAATCGGGAAAATTTAAGAAGTTTTGAGAATTTTTTAAAGTTTTATTCATAATTATGATCATATAACCTGTCACTACATTCTAGACACAAGTTGAAACAGATCAGATTTTCTAAAAAGTAAAAATACTACATGTAGATCTATGTGTTGCAGCCTTTGGGATCGGTAAAACAGGTATTACTATAGATTGGTAATTGGACCTTATATTGGACCCCTAGTAATGCGATAAATATTGCCCTGCAGCGAGTTCTCCGTAAAAATACATGCGGATAGGTAAAATTTTATATCTAAATTGAACATGGCCATTCAAAATATTTAGCAATAAGTGTATACCAGGGTGTTCCTAAGGGTCATTTTGACTAAGTTTTACCGACTACAAGGTCAAATCCCCATGATTTTAACATAATTTGACACTCAAATTAAAATCCTGAGGGTCAAATCAGGTCTTTTGGAAATTTGAAGGGTCAAACGGACACCCTGGTATACCATCCATATCTTTTGTCAACAAGTGTTAACTGAAGTCTACTTCGAAAACTTACTGGATAGTTTAAGATGGATGATTCTGAACAGTCTAACTTCATTTTGATCGACCAGCCTATCTTGTCATCTTTATCAATCACAATAGCACCACTTTTCCACTTCATAGAGCCAATACATCCTGAGCTACCTCCATACTTCACATTACCTGGGAAAATTTCCACTTTCTCATTTGGCTTCATATCTCCAAATTTTTAGATAATCTCTGTAGAGAAAAATATAACTTGAAGTGTTAAAATGTAGAAAATTATAAGTGTTAAAATGTAGTGTCTATTCTAGAATTTTGAATACTGTTGGGCGTTAACACCCTATTCCAACACCTATCAATTTTTAAAAGTGGGGTGGCCCCAATGGGGATAATTATTAACTTGGTGGTGTATGGACTTGTATCTTATTAGGTTAGAAAAGTTTTGTTGTTTTTAATAAACATTTTAAATTACTTTTTTCAAGTAAATAAAATGATGGCCCTAGATTGCTCACTTTTGAAACTAAGCAAACTACAAGTTAACTATTCAACGCCACATATGGTACCACACCATTTATCTGTTTATCAAAGTTCTAAGCATTGGGCCACATTTAAAAAAGTCTTTGTTTGCTGTCTCCCGACCCTACTTTTTAGAGTTGGGTAGGTAGGTAGGGATTTTTTTTTTTTTTTTTTTTTGGAAATACATAAATGTTTTTGGTTTGATTCTGTCTGATGGAAAAAACGATTTAATATAATTTTGAATAAACATTTTAAAATTGATATATCTTACTTTTTATTTCAGTTTGTAGATCTTCCAATTTAAGTCAATACAAGAAGTATAGTTCTTTTTTATAAAAATACATGTAACAAAAGCAAATTTCAAACATTTACCCAACATGTGAGAGGATGACTAAAACACTCAAATATACGTGAATGACTTGAACACTCAAATATATTATGCAAGATAACTACTGAACAACAAAAGGCATCATTATACATCAAAAGTTTAAAGTCTGCTTACATTTTTTCACTTAATGAATAGTAAGTAACAAAACCAGAAAATAAAACTTCAAACACTATGCAACTTCAGACAAGTAAACAGTTAAGCCACAGCCCTATTCTCCTAATTGTGGAAATACCAACAAAATTTAGGTTCACATTAGGCCTAAAAAAAAAATTGATGTGTTTCTGGTGGCGAGGCGAAAAAAAGTAGGGTCGGTAGGTCGGACTTTTTTTTTTTTAGTCAATCAACGATTGTAGATATGTCAGATACGGATTATATGTACTTTAAATTATATTCTATAGCATATAAAAGTACTTAAAATGTTAGACTACCAAACCTAGTCTTCAAAATTTTATTTTGAAATAAATTTTACCAATGGCATGACTCGACTTTCGTTTTCATTTTTTTTATTCTTACCGAACAACTGGCTTCAATTTTAATATTATCACTCTAAACATGACCATGCACGTCCGAAAAATGTTTTGAGCTGTTTTGCTGTGGTCTATTAATTTGATTTCCTGTTTTGCCAAACTATGATCGTATTTTTAAAGAAAATCGCCAGCAGTGACACTTCGGCTGCTTGTTGTGCCGCCATATTAGCCGGTGCGCGTTAATACGTAATTGGAACCCGAATCGTCTGTGCCTCACATCGTTGTCGACTCGCAATACTAAAACCTGTCTTCTGTACGGGCGCCATTTTTTTTTGTACATCGATAAAAAACTTTGGGTTGGCGCTAAAAAATAGGGTCGGTCGGGCCACCGGAAACACAACCTTTTTTTTTTAGGCCTTATTCATTTTTTATAGGACATTTATGGGGAATGTTTTTCTTGTGGTCTCACAAACTTGAAGTACAATCCTATACTTTGTTAACAGTTCCGGATTTCTCTGTGCTTCTAGCTCAGCACAATGGGCACAAATATCTGGTCCAATGTTGGAGGCACAGTAAGGGAACTCCATGTGAGATTGGCAGGAAATCTACAGTTGTACAAACAATCTCCCTAAATGCAGCGCATCTCCTATGAAAAAAGACAGAAGGCAAATTAGACTTTATGCAATACAGATTTTGCCAAAAATGCAATTATTTTAACATTTTAATTATACAAATACCATGGGAAATATGTAAGAAAGAATAAAGTCAGGTTTCTTCTTTCAGTTGATTATGTAAAAACATTTTGACATCACTGTTTCAACAAAATAAGCACAACAATGTGCAATATCAATACTAACCATCAACTGTAATGACTGAAACACAGCTGTAATCAAATTTCTCAAGGTTGTGTGTTAGAGATCATGTTTCCCTGACTGTCAATTTATTCTTGGACAAGTTGGAAGAAAAATACCTTGGTTTAACGTATTCAGTGCATGGAACAAATAGCCTTGCATTTTGAGCCACTAGAAGACTATTCTTAAAGCCCTGTAATAATTAGAGGTGCAACGATACCTTTCGATGCATCGAAAACTGGTTTTTTTCGATTCCCGATACCAACTGTAACATTTTCGATTCGATTCCCCACCCAAAAATAAACATGGGAAAAAAGTGAGAGTTTTAGTCTTTCCCTTCCCGCTTTATCATACAATTGGCCAATTAAAACTCGGTCATCCAATCAGTGGGCGCGTAATGTTTTATTTTCAGCGATAAAAGTCAAAATGGCTACCAACATCAATGTTGATAAAATAAAATTAAAAAATCATCCTAAAGAAATTAAAATCAAAGGTTTGGGAACACTTTGGGTTTCGGGAAGGCCAGGACACCGATAAAGCTACTTGCAAAATATGCTTTACGGACGTGTCATATCCAAAGTCCGGCAGTACGTCTAATTTAATGCAACATATGAAACGAAAACACGATGTGGACTTGTTTGGTAAGCTTTATCCGTGTCCTGGCCTTGGTAAGCTTTATCCGTGTCCTGGCCTTCCCGAAATAAGTTTGATTAGTACTACAGTAAGTAGGCATATTTGACATTGGGATTGATTATTATTCTTTAGTAAAATGTGAAAAAAGTGATAATTTCATGAATTTCATTTTTCCTGTATTGTTTACTAGACTAAGAAGTATTGTGTGACAACACTGACATTAGGATTGATTATTCATTTTACATATTATGGGAATTATAAACAGAATATATGCATATCAGGTCTGACAACCTTGTGAAACTGTGTTCATTATTAATTACTTTACAATTTACATACTTTGTTAAATTCCTAGTCAGCAGAAGGTATCTGTGATAGTCATGTTACTGAGATGATTGATTATTTGCCTGATTAAAATTATTTTCCAAATAGACAAGAGCTTTTTATTATCATAAACACAATTATTAAGTCAAATAAGTTTATATAATAGTTATATTACTGTTATTACAACAGAAAAGCAAAGCACTAGGTTGAAGGCAACTGACTTTTGGAGCAGACAAGCAGAATTATATACCAAAGATAAATTAGTAATCAGAAATGTATCGAATCGAAAAAAATCGAATCGGAGTGTCTAAAATCGAAATCGAATCGAACATTTGGTGTATCGTTGCAGCCCTAGTAATAATGAGAAAATGTGATACCTTTAATATTGAAATGAGTGCTGAAATGGTTCCAGTACTAAGACAGGTGGTATTAAAAACAATAAGATCAGTGCATTTGCTGGTTGAAGGAAAATGATTATTAAATAAATAGGCTACTGGTAATTATAAATGAATGAGTCCATACAAGAAACTTAATTTATTTACAAAAACTTTATTTTAAGTCGATTACATGAGCATTCAATACTAAATTAAGTTTTTAACCAATTTTTTCGATGTCAAAGCATACCGTAGGAACGTCCGATTTTTTCGGGTAAAAATCCTCGGCGTCATTCAACAGATCGGCCCATGTCCAGACCAATCCGTACTCGTGGAGGTTATTTTTCAACAAAGTTGAACAGGAGCCAGTATTATACGTAATAATAACTGTTGACGAGATGATAAAATACTCGTATTCTTCTAACTTTTGTTTTGCTTTCGCAAAATTGTAACGGAAGTGTACACAATCGACATTTACCCGGCGGTACTTGATTGTCGATACGCATGATGAATAGTACACGGGAACCAGAATACTACACGCCGTTATTGAACGGATATCGGTAAAAATATGCGGCACCCAAAAAAAAAAAAAAATGGTCGGCGAGAGCAAATAAAATTTTTCGGAAACGCAGCGTTTTTTTTAGGGTCGGTCGGGAGACAGCAAACAAGCTATTTTTAATTTTGGCCTTGGGTTCCAGTGGTTTTTTTTCCACAAAATATTATACGAAATTCAATCCTATTCCGCCATCAAAATATTTCCCCCCCCACTCAAAGCCGAAATTTTCCCCTATTAGGCAACCCAAATTTGCCTGCAATCAATATCATGTTTTTGCAACTGCCGAAACATGTTGTATGTAAACAGGAAGTACCGAATAATGTCTTTTAGCTAGGTTCTAAATTCCTGAATGGGGACAGGAGTATTTGCATGTTGCAGTTACGATTTGACTGCACTTTTTGTTGGTTATGTGTTTTTTTGCTTAAGATTTTTTATGTGCAATCCATTCAATGGAGAAAAATAAGGTTTATGTCAATGTATGTTATTCTGAAAAGGTTTCGCAATGGGTCTAGTCTAAACTTTAATGCCCCAACAGCCGCATCAGATGTAAATTTTTTTTTTAAAAAAAGCTGCTTAAATCTTGGAAGCCAGAACTAGTCTAGATCTACCAGTGACCTAGCAGCAAGATCACTGGCACAATTCGAATCGCCGTAGAAAGGATTTCATGATCAATTAAAACTAAAGTGACCTACTATATTGTCCGTAAACGGAATGATCTGTATAAACTTCTATTTCAGATAACAGGGATATGGTCATAATTTTTGTTCAACCGGTTTTCATGGTTTACAACCGGCCGGTCTACACAACAAATTTCGATAAAAATTGATTATTTGTGCCTAAATTTTGTGACTTGCGTTAAGGGCATCTTTATTATCAAAGACATCAACAACAGTTTATCAATCCTCTCAAGCAATCCACTCAAGCATTTAAAAAACACAAAAAATTTATAGAAAACAACAAACCATGTCCCGCGAAATAAACCGGATGTTCAACATAGTATAAAACCTGTTTTCTACGGTACGGTTTTCGGCATAACGCCCCTAAATTACCCCGTTCTTTAATTCACACGGATACATTACATTCTAGCGGTATTTTTTCCAAAATTAATATTATCACCCTATTTTGCAGCTGGGAAACTTAAAGATAGGCAAAGGATAAAAATAAATATCTACAATTGTAAATCGTATTTTGTGTAAATCTTAGCTATATCTGAGTAAAAAGCGTCTGTACGTGACATAATTAACACTTTTCAATTTTTGGTTATTTTTACACTTATATTTTTTCTGGAAAAAGAGAGTGAGCTAATTATCTGAATTACCATGGAGCTAAACATAGTCGTACATCTGTGAAATTACGCACACAAGTATTAAGTACAGACATACATCAAATAGAACATTAATCTCGAAAAATTGTTTCCAGGTCTGTCGTGTAAAAAATAAACCGCAGTGGAGTCCCTTCAATATTACAAAACTAACTTTTCTTTAAACATTGATTCTCATTAAATTCTCCGAATCCAAAATTGAATTTATCATTTTCAACCTTTTAATTTCAATTTTATGTGAATTTGTTAACAACTTCTGTATGATTTCAGTTTACAATATTACTGTTTTTTATATAGTTGTTTTCTCACAATGTCCAGCTGGTGTTTGGGTAAGGTCAGTCAACTTTAAAACTTTGTGTCTTTATCTCACTCACTCACTCACTCACTCACTCACTCACTCACTCACTCACTCACTCACTCACTCACTCACTCACTCACTCACCAAATCTCACACACACACACTCACTCACTCATTCACTCACACAACACTTGTGAAACTCTTTATAATGATTGTCATTCATTTAACATTTTCTGTTGACAATGTGAGAATAATCATGATGATAGATTTAGAGATAATAAGGTATGTTTGTAAAATCAAAAAGGGTCATTTGCTTGACAAAACAAGTTTGAGGTCAAAGGGCATGTGTGTTGTCGAGGTATTGGTCAGAAATATAAAAGGTCAATGTGACCTTGACCTTTCACCTAGTGACGCTAAAAACATTAGGATTCATTTATGGGTCTTGAAAATCTTCATAACAAGTTTGAAGTTCCTAGGCCCAGGCGTTTTTAAGTTGTAGTTTTTTATGTTATCTATCGAAAACGTTGTGATCTATATATGGACTGACCAATCGACCGACAGATCAACCTGCATGTGCAAATGTTCCAATGGCCGGGGTTAGAGGCGTTGGCATAATTATCAACATTTTTTGAATGTTTGACTTTTGAATGTTTGGCAAATCCGGCATTCCATCTTTTTGCGTACAGTCCTACAGTCTTGTTTTATATGCGACTACTATAAATCTTAGGCTATAAATGCGTTACTCTTAATCTTTGTTCTTGCAATTGAAGATAAGAAAGTACGGTGGTCATCAAAAATATTTTATCTTTCACGAGTGCACGCGATAGCTACTACGTGCGGATGCAATAGCCCCTACTTCGGTCAATCATTACGCGCGCACGTAATAGCTTTCGCGTGAGCACGTGAGCACATAATAGCTATCCTATCATTATGCCACCGTTTTAAAAATTAAGAAAATGTTTATCCTAAATTGGACGTTTCGATCGATTTTGCACAACATCCAACCGTTTTAGATGCATTCAATCGAATATATTTTCAACTATATATTTATAATTAGGAGAGAGATATAACTTTTATAAGTGTAGAAAGTAAAATTCAAAAGCAATAAATAAGGTAACTTGTAAGGATGGAATGAACTATATTAAAAGAAGAGAAAGGGGTAATTTCTATTGAATTAAATTTGTTTTACCCTTTCATAATCTTCACCATCAGTGCAGTACTTCAGATCTAGAATATCTTTTACTCTTTGTATACATGCTGTCACACGATTCTGTAATAATACATGTATGATTGTTTGGAGACTTTTCTATTGAAAAATGAAAATGTGTCATAGTTAAATCATATACCCATACATGCACAGTGCGTTAACTGCAGTTCAGGCATTTGTTACCAGCACTCCAGTTACTGCTGGGTTTGTTGGGAAGAAAGATAGAGAATACTCGATGATTGGCTCATTTTTTCTAGGGTTAATTTATTGTTCAGACAGGGAAAGAGATAACGATAGAAAAGTCATATTCAGATGCTCAGTGACATTGGTTACTTTTTTTCTAGGGTTTCATATTGTGACGACAGGGAACATGTTTTTTTTCTCACTATGATACAACATAGATGGAACATCAAAACACTTGGCAATCTGATTTATGCTTAGGGCTATACCTTTGTACAGATCAGATAACCTTGTGTTTTGGTGTTCTTTATTTCTATCACTTTATTTATAACTAACTAACATAATATAATAATAATAATAATAATAATAATAATAATAATAATAATAATAATAATAATAATAAACTCTTTATTTAAACGAAGGTAACTTATTAAGACAATACATCAAATCATTAGATACAACACATATAATGCAAAATCTTATTTTCAACATGACCTTCTATAAAACATAAACATAACAATGGACATTCAGTAAATCTTAATTAACAAAGAAGACAGACATAATATTATATTACAGTATAGGTAAATTTTCTGTAATTCATCTTTAGATAATAAGAAATGTTTGAAATGTTATTTTAACAATTTAAGACTTGAAAAAAAAATAAAAAAAATTTAAGAAATAGTGTTCCATAACTCCAAACTAGAATAACAAAAAGTACGTTTGAAATAATTTGTTTTAGGTCGTTTATGCATAATGTCTTTTTTATGTGTTGATCTTAGTAAGTAAGTTTTATTTTGATTAGATTAGAAATACATGCTGGCGTTAATTTATTCATCGCCATAATTCCAGAAAAGTATTTACATCTAGATAGAAAAGATAACCATTTCGTATTTTGAAACATTTCAAGAGAATTTGTTTTTACGGGTTTATTTAAAATAATTCTGGCGGTTCTTTTTTGTAATTTTGTTATTCTATTTAGATCTGATTTGTTACGTTTAGACCAAATAATACATCCATAATCAAAACTAGGGGCAATGTAAGCGTTATAAAATATTTGTTTCATTTCAGGTGTAAGAAATATTTGATTTATTTTCAGCAGAGAGCTTAGAACACGTTTAGTCCAAGATAGACAGTTATCAATATGCAATCCAAGTAGCTTTTGACAATGAACATTATTTATACTCGAATTATCAATATGCAGAAAACGATTACGATTGCCTATGTTATTTATTTTACATTTTGATCCAATTATCGTGCACGTTGTCTTTTCTGGATTAATTGCCATATTTTTGACAGTGCACCATACTAGTGAAATAAACTATATCTTATTGTTGCATTTTACCCTTTACTTTTATTGTCATAATAATTTGAAGAATATGGTATAATATTGACCTCTATAGTCTCTCTAAACAAGAAGGATATCATACTAGATTTTAGGCCCATGAAATTCACTAGGCCACCATAAATTCTATGTACGGGATGAAAGTTACTCATCCACATAGACTTAAATGAAACTTTACACAAATGTTACTATCCATAGAAAATTTGTACATTATATATAAGACTTTTATGAATATAAAACAGGATTTTAAATGCTGTATAATTGATTAAAAACTAATTTAAACACTAAAACAGCATAGTAAATGCATTAAATACTAAATATATAAATATAAAATTCATTCGTAAAGAATACACAATATACTTTTATTAATTTTATTACCTCCCTTTAATATTAAGGAAAATAGATTTACCTACTAGCAGATCTGATGAAAATTGAATGCACATGTCGTTCATCTTTTGTAAATCGTCCCGTCGTCCTATTTCAGCTCAGTCCAACTCATTATTTCTGGCACAGAATATGTAATTATTATAATATCTTTAACAAATTTGTAAATTGCACGATAATGATGCAGAATTGAGCTGAGAACGGACTTTTCTTTTCCACATTTTGAAGCCGTTTTCCTGTCCAATCGCAGGTGCATCCAACTGAAAACCTCCGGTAGAAATATGTATACGTTCAATATCTTCTGATATGAAGTGACATATATCTGAAATGTTGAGAAAAATGCCCAGAAGGGGACAATTGGTTCGTTTATTTTCGCCTTTGCAGCGCTTTTCAATATTGGGTCCGTTTTCTCACTTCTAGAATACTGAAAGAGTGAATGATCATAAAGGTTGCACACAAGTCATTAATTATAGTTATCATTAGTCTAGACCTATATCAAATGAAATATTTATTCTCGAAAAGTAGTTCTGGCCCAAGAACGTCAAAAAACCTCAGTGGAGTTTCAGAAATTAAACATTCCGGAACAAAATATTCCCCTTCTTATACTAGTTGGTTTAGCGATTATTGACGCATGTTCCACTGCAATTGCTGCATGGTAATCAAGGGAGGGAATAAACCTAACAGAATTCCCTCCCTTGTCTACTACAAAAGACCGGACAGTAGGACAGTACGTAAATATAATAAGTAAAGAACAACGGTGTTTCATTTGGAATTAATTTATTTCATAATATTTCAACGATTTAACAAAATATGGATATGTGACAGAAAACGCAATATCGTACCGATGTCAATCCGATATACAAAATAGTTGCATTTATTTATCATGTAGGCCCGACGCAGACCCGATGTCCTTTTTTATGTAACATGAAATGTGGTTAATGTGGTTCTAGTAATTGAAATCATACACAGGACTATTTATTAACATAATTAAGTAAACAATACCATTGCATTTAGAATTTTTCAAAATATTGAGCATGTCGGCACTGCAGCGGTCCGATGTCGGCCCCAAATCGGCACACTTTGCCGACATGCCGATTAACCGTATATCGGCCCGATATAGTCGTGCTGGCTGGGTGTTTACTACAGTTGTTTAGGCAGTAGCGGATTTTAGGGTATAGCGGATAACATGGCAGTAACAATGCTCCTTTCCATCAAATATGCCTTTTTCAAAATAATACAATTATACCATCAAAAAGAGTGATATATTTGCCATCCGCCGCTATTTTTGTT